CATATGAACTTCCTCCTCCAAGTTACCATGCAAAAATGCATTGTTGACGTCAAGTTGGTGGAGGAACCACCCCATCTGAGTTGCAAGTGCAAGAACGCATCGAACAGTCACTAATTTTGCCACTGGAGCGAAAGTATCGTGGAAATCCACTCCTTCGACTTGTGTGTAACCCTTTGCAACCAGTCGTGCCTTGTACCGCTCAATGGTACCGTCAGGATTATACTTGATTCGATTCACCCATTTCGAATCTATCAAGCGCTTGCCAGGAGGTAAAAACACGAGCTCCCAAGTACCATTAATCTCGAGAGCAGGGACTTCGTGTTGCATGGCGTCCCGCCATTGCTTGTAGCGGACTGCTTCATGAAAAAAACGGGGCTCTGTCGAGCTGGAAATGGCTGCAAGGTAAGCTCGGTGATCAGGAGATAGACGAGCATAATTAACTACATCATGTAAAGGATAGCGGACAGAGGAGACATGACCTGAATGTGACGTTGGGAGCTGTACATCATAGTTTTCCACCAAAAATTGAGGTGGTTTATGCCTGCGAAGCCCACGTCGAGGTGCAATGGCAGGGGCAACAGGCGCGCCGCCTGGGCTGGGCGAATGGAGCAAGCTGGGAGTTGGCTCGTTCTCGACATCAGGTTTAGCTGCGGGAGATCGAGGGCCAAGCGAAGCGCCAATGTCGTCGGGTAGCGGGGCAGGCGCAGAGGGCGAAGATACCAGGTCATCATCATCATCATCAAGTGACCCACGAGGAGCAGGTTGAGGAAGATGAGCGGTAGGTAATAGCTCATGAAAAGGAAAACGGTCCTCACAGAAAACCACGTCACGAGAAGTGAAGAGCTTCCTTGTGGTCAAGTCCATAACACGATATCCTTTTTGAGAAGCGGGATAACCTAGGAAAACACACGCTCTCCCCCTTTCACCAAACTTGTCCAAATGCGGAGATGTGTCCTTTGCATAGGCGAGACACCCAAAAGTTCTTAGATGATGATACAAAGGCTGTTTGCGGAAAATGCGCTCATAAGGGGTACAATTTTCAGTCGCTGTGGTGGGGAGTCGATTTATGAGATACACAGCAGTTAGAAGACACTCACCCCAAAATTTTATAGGTAAATTGGCATGAAATCGCAGAGCACGAGCTGTATCAAGTAAATGCAGGTGCTTTCGTTCCACCACACCATTTTGCTGAGGTGTGTTAATGCAAGATGTTTGCAGAATTATGCCCTCCTGTTCATAGTAAGTAGTTAAGACATTCGTCAGGAATTCAGGTCCATTATCAGCCTGAATACGTCGAACCCGTTTCCCAAACTGTCAGACCACCTGTTGACAAAACAACTGTAGATAATGACAAGCTTCTGATTTATAATGCAAAAGATAGACCCAAGTGCCGTAGTCATCGACAATCGTTAAAAAATAGTGTGGTCCACTAAGACTGGGAGTATGATAACCCCCCAAAATGTCGATATGAATCATCTCAAAAATACCGTAGTTTTGATAGAACTAGTCATAAAAGGCATTCTAGTTTGTTTAGCTCGCAAACAGGTCGAACAATTGTGATTATCCAAACAAGAACCAGAAACAAAATGTAGTAAAGAGAGCTTCTCAGACGACGGGTGCCCCAGGCGAGAATGCCACAGAGTTGAGGAGCTGCGCCCTACCGCCTGTGCCGCATGAGATAATGCCAACCGAAGTTCATCAAACAGCTGGAGGTGATAAAGTCCATCAACTTGTCTCCCCATCCCAATCATCCTTCTGGAGTGTTGAGTCCTGAAGAACAAATAAGTCATTCAAATATATTAGTACTAAGGAAAATTCTCTAGTAAGTTGGCTGATGGAGAGAAGGTTGCATTTAAAATCCGACGCAAAGAGAACCCGTGGCAAGACAAAACCAGTAGCGAGCTGAACCGAGCCCACACGATGTACAACCACTGCCGTCCCATTTGGAATCCTTACTTGGAGATGGGATCCAGGCACACTTGTTAAGAACAACCGCTCATCATTAATGATATGAGCATTACAACCAGAGTCTAAAATCCAAGTAGTAGTACCAAGTGTGTTACCTGAGAAGGCATTGTCATCAAGAATGGGGGATTCAGCCCCTAGAAAATGCTTGAGCTGTTCAACTTGGGACTTAGACAACCCAGGAATGACACTATCATCCTCATTCACAGTGGCAGCTTTAGGACCAGAACGACTCTTCCCATCAGCGCGTCGGCCCTTCCCATTGTTATTTTTGGTGCGCCGCGATCAAGGTATCCAGGAGGATAGTCGATGAGTTCAAAGCACCGCTCTTTGGTGGGCCAAGCTTCTGACAATGGGAGCAACGAGGCTTCCCGTCCCCACCAGCACGGTCGCGATCCTCGCCGGACTTACCGCGATCCTGAGATGCTGCAAATGCAGCAGACTCGACTTTTGGCTTGCGATTAACCGCAATCTTGCGATGCTGCTCATCGGGGGAGATCATATACATTGGCCGCACGTAGGGGTGGAAATCGGTACGGTATCGGTGTCCCAATACCAAATACCAAAATCTCGAATACCGAATTACACCCTAATGTCAATCCCAATCCCAATCCCTAAATAATTTCGGTATCCCAATCCCAATCCCTAAATATTTCGGTATCCCAATCGATACTTCGGTATCCCAATTCCCAATCGGTATTATCGAATACAAAATTAATTACCTTTGCAATTAAAAATTAAATATATAAATTAGATTTTATTGTTTAATTTAGGGGGAAAAGACTAAGCAAAGAGTCTTGAATTAGGATATTATTAAGGAGAATGGAGGAGAGGAGACATCTCAAATTCTTGTCATTGGTAATCGTTAATTTGACGAATTGGAGGTTGAGAGACAATTATTAATAGTGATGGAATGATCTATATATAATTAAATGACACTCTTGGTGGTTGAGGGTCGTGTAGTAGTGAATGAGTGAGTCTAGTTGAGAGGATAAAATACACACTAGCTTATATTTCGGTATTTCGGTATATTACCGATCCCAATCTCGTAATCCCTAATACCGAATAACAATTGAAATTCAATCTCAATCCCAATTCCAAAAAATAATATGTGCATTCGGTAATACCAAATTATAGACAAATTCGGTACGGTATTCGGTATATCCCAAATATCGGTACCAAACTTCCAGCCCTAGCCGCACGTACAAGAGGGTGTGGGTGAAATTTGCTGTGCTTCTTCCCATACAGTACAAAGCTCAATGTAATAAGCAGAAACGCTAAGCTTTTCTTGAGGAAGGAGACTTATCTGACGACGAAGCTCGTAATGACGAGGAGCACTGACTTGGCCGAAGCGAATTTTGAGGTCATCCCAAATTTGCTTGGCTGTTTTAGCAAAACGTATGTTGCAGCGCACCTCAGGTGTCATGGATGCCTTAAGCCATCCTTTGAGAGTTGCATCACAGTGAAGTCAGGCAGCCTCCTCGCGCGGAGTCTTTGGTTGCGGAAGAGAGCCATCAACAAACCCTAGTTTGTTCTTGGCGAGAAGGGAATCCGTCATATCGATAACCCATTCGCCGTAATTGCTAGTAGTAAGAAGATCGCCAACATGCTGAGGATCTGCCTGCGGGAGAAAGTAAACTGAGTTTACATCGGAGGTAAGAGGACGATCAGGGACGCCACCATTGCCAGTGACAATTCCCTTGTCGCCGCCGCCGCCGCTATCTTTGGTTTCGTCGCCCATAATGCAACAAACAAAGAACGATAATCGTCACCAGAGAACAGAGAATCAAGTCGCAGGGAGGAGCTTACAACTCTGATACCATGATAAAACTAGCAAAACGAATGCAAGAAGACACACGATTTACGTGGTTTCCTCGTCCAGTATGAACGAGACTACTCCACGGAGAGCAAGAGCTCTCAGGTTTTGTTCTTATTATTATTCACTTGCTTACAGCAGCTGCTACAATGCGACAGCTATTCATAAAACGGAAACCCTTCCTTTAGTCTCCTAGGGTTCGAATGATGAGCTTGGGAAATTAACAGAATCACCAAGTAACAAATAAATATGGACAAACAGGTCCATAATGACCATGCACGTAAAATACACACGTGCACGCTCCGCTACAAATGATATAATACATATTTTTTTGGTAGGACATAATACATATCTTTGAAAGTGCATATACATTATTGGGAAGTGGCTGCGTCATCTCTGACTATAACTTAATAGATTATTGAGAAATATTATCATATGTACTCATAAATTACATTCTAAAATAAATATCACGTGTCCAAAGGACAATGTATAAGCTAGTGTATAATTTTGAATAGAATATAAAATGACATGAGTTATGGTCAAAATAGAGAAGTTACAAAACTTAAAAAATTCGAATCTTACCTCTCATGATAAGAAATTAAGAATCATACCATCCCTTATATGGTCACATCATAAGAGTAATAAGACACAATATTTTATAGGCTTTGGAATAATTGATTTCCTGTAGACAAATTTCATATCGACAAATCACGGGATAGATGTATGGTTCATAAGTAAGAAATTGACATTAACCGACAAGACACGTTTTGAGATGAAATAGATGAGTTCTCAGGAAGAGTTCTTGTGAGAACTATAAAGTTATACGTGTTCAGCATGGGTGCCATGAAGCACTGCAATGATAAGTGACTTTATAAAAAATCACATTGATATGCATTCCAAAGCTAAATTTGTGAGAATCTGCGCCCAAAACTAACAAAATGTTGATCGGGAAATGCGCCCAAAACTAACAAAATGTTGATCGGGAAAACACTGTTACATTTCTTCTAATTCCAAAAAAATAAAATAATTATTGGCATTCTTAAATTATTCCGGACTTTTTAGCTCACTTTTGGGCCCCTCAATTTTCATTCATTTCCATAACAGAAAAAAAAAAAAAATTCATTCATTTACTGACACCTCCCCTGACTACTCCAGAAAGGCAAAGAGGATATTTATCTGTTCTCTCCGAATCAAGGCAAAACATGTCCAGAATGCCCCTCTTCTTCTCACTCCTGTCTCTTTCTCTGCCGACGTCGAGAAGTTTATAGTTCAAGCGCAAAACCGAACGTGCCTTCTATGCTCTGCACCGCTCTCGAGAACCACCGATAAACCCTCCTCCCCAGCAAATGAAATTTCCACTGAACCTTCTTCTTCCTCTGTCGGATTCTTCTTCTTCACTCATCAACGATACTCGGAGTTCACTGCCGCGAACTCGTTGATCAAACAGTTCGCAGTTCCTGGTCAAGATGCTGGAGGATCAGGTCGCGTTCCTGCTCCAGAAGTTCCTGGGGAATTACGTGAGAGGTCTCAGTAAAGAGGCTCTCAAGATCAGTGTCTGGCGAGGTATACTGCTTCCCTTGCCCTCTCTTGCTTAACTGTTTGATTGTTTTTTTTATTTTCCTTCGCCATTTTCTGTCCGCGTAACTTGCTTAATTGGAAGTTGTGAATGGTTTCCTGTTAGTTTGAACTAGTGATCGCAATTTTCTTGTTTTTTGGTTCATCACTTTCACTGAAGAAGATAGCTGTAGAAATTGAGTAATGCGTTCTCATTCATTGGGAATGCTAGTGATAGGTGTCATTTGAGTTAGGAGTGATTTTTTGGATCCTAGGGTTTGATCTAATGAGTTCGGAGAACGCGCACATTTCGGAATGATACAGTTGTTTGTGGCTGTGAACCATGGATTTATTCGAGATCACATGTTATATAAAGCTTTGGTTTAGAACAATTGGACATCTACTGGACTTGATGCACTGAACATAAGTTTACTGTAATTTGATACTGAAAAGGATTTTCAGTTTAGAATAGCTGGCGCCTGGCGGTGGTTACTGGAGCAATGAAGCTCCTTACCAGTATTGGCAATCTATGATGAATGCCATTTTGAGATCATATGTTTGTTGATTTATGTACTACTACTATTTGGGGTCGCTCTAGTTTGGGCTTAGGTGTTACCATTGAAATGTACTGCAGGTGATGTGGAGCTAACTAATATGCAACTCAAGCCAGAGGCACTAAATGCATTGAAGTTGCCGGTGAAGGTCAAAGCAGGATTTCTTGGATCAGTGAAACTAAAGGTACAATCTATTTCTCTTGAGCTTGTGGGCTAAATTCAGTGCTACTTTTTCTGCATGTATGGTTGTTTGCTCTCATCCTCTTGTCAATTCCTTCGCTCAGGTCCATTTTTTCTCGTGGCATGAAAATTCCATCGGATTTGGGAGCTTGTTTGATGCTTAAGTCAGTTTTTCAGCCTATAGATAACCGTTGAATATGTAGAGCAAGTGGCTTCTACCATGCTTGTTTTTTTTTTTTTTTATATTGTTGGTTCCTTGTTAAAGGCATAAGTGATATGGCATTTTCTGTGACTTTATTATTTTTCATCATGCTCCATGTGGAGCATGCCTGTCACATATGGATATTTCGTCTATGTGCTCTTGCATGAAAGTAATACGACATATTCAAATTTCAGGTTCCATGGAGCAGGCTTGGTCAAGATCCAGTGCTGGTTAGTCTGGATCGGATCTTTTTGTTGGCTGAGCCTGCCACCCAAGTTGAGGGACAAAGTGAGGATGCAGTTCAGGAAGCCAAGAAAAGTCGAGTACGGGTAAGACATGATGTGATTATACGTGCGTTTGGACCATTTTGAGGTTGTGAAGATGACTAACTCCCTTTTCTGTTAAATAGGAGATTGAGAGGAAGCTTTTGGAGAAGTCACAGGAGGCGAATCTGGAAATGGTATGACAGTTCTTAGCCAAAGTTAGTGACAGTTAAAGGGTGAAAGCAAGCTAACTTTCTGTTTTTGTGTGTCTTTATGTATGGTTCTAGTTGAAAAACTCTTCTGCATTGTGCCATTGACCTTCTAGGCCGTGGAATCATATGCAGTTATTTACTGTCATAGGTGATGTTAGATGTTTCATCCTTGCATTACCTTTGGCCACACCATCGAGGTTTGGTGTGGCGTTATATTTCTATGCTTTTGAGACTTATATTATCAACTATTGATAGTACTTACTACTTTATAGTTAAATTGCTTTCACCTACAATTGTAGGATTCTAATTTTGGCTTCATAATTCTTTGTGTTAGTAGTATAAAGTTTTGTATTTACATTTGTCAACATATCCTGGATTATGTTTTCCTGATCTGGAGATGGCGTGGTAAGCATCTTAAGTATATTGACTATCTTCTAATAACATGGTAACTAATGTGGCAAAACACTTGTGCGATTATGTTGTTTCTTTATGGGTTAAGTAACTCCTTTTAATCAATCTGCATCTGCATTTCTGTATGATTAATTGCGGAATCTTTTTAGTCTGCGACCTTTTATATTCTTCTCCTGGTCATAGCCTTAACCCTGCTTGAACTGTATGTATTATCTAATTTTGAAGAACAAATCCTGGTTGGGGTCATTGATCAATACAATAATCGGGAACTTGAAGCTTTCAATTTCAAACATCCATATTAGATACGAGGATCCTGAGAGGTACACACTTATATCTGAACCCTTCTTGATTTAATGTCCATTCACTTCCTTTCTGACCTTTCTTCTATTGTATAGCAACCCTGGCCATCCGTTTGCAGCCGGCATAACCTTGGAGAAACTTTCAGCAGTGACAGTTAATGATAATGGGACGGAGACGTTTGCCACTGGTGGTGCACTAGACCGCATCCAAAAGGTTCCTTGCTATGTGTATTAAAGTGTTGGTGTTTATCGCTAGATCAAAATGGTTCTTCTTTAGGCTGTATTCATCAACTGATATTGCTGTTCCTCTGTGGTACAGTCTGTGGAACTTGGCGAGCTTGCTGTTTATTTTGACTCGGATATAATACCATGGCATGTTGATAAGTCTTGGGAGGACTTGCTTCCTTTGGAGTGGGTTCAGGTATTTTTTTCCTCTGATGTGCTTCCTTAGGAACTTGTCTATATGTTCGGTCTGCTAGCTATATTTTGTCCTTCTTTGATTTGGTATTTATTTATTCACATCACGTTCATTTGTTTGCTTTTAGATTTTCAGGTTTGGAACAAAGGACGGAAAACCAGCAGATCAAACTAGGAAAAAGCATTCATACATTCTACAACCAGTAACTGGCAATGGAAAGTACACCAAATTGCAGAAGGACAAACGTGTTGATAGTAGCAGTCCTCTGCAGAAAGCTGTTGTAAACTTGGACGATGTGACACTCTGCTTATCGAAGGTTGGGTTTAATGTTTTAGTTTCTTTTATCCATCTCTCCATATCCTCAGGAGGTGGAGTTGAGATGGCCCATATTCTGGTGTTTGCAGGATGGATACAGAGATATGTTAAAATTAGCGGACAATTTTGCTGCCTTCAATCAACGGCTAAAATATGCTCATTTTCGCCCACTTGTGTCTGTCAAATCTGCTCCGAGGGCTTGGTGGAAGTACGCCTGCAAAGCTGTTTCTGACCAGATTAAGAAGGCTAGGTACTGTGAAATTATTGAGATCTGAATCAGATGACTTGTTTTTATCATAATAAGGGATCACTTCTCTAACACCATTTTTTGCATGGACATGTGCTTCCTGGCAGTGGGAAATTATCATGGGAGCAGGTAGTAAGATATGCAAGTTTGCGTAAGAGATATGTCTCTCTTTATGCTTCTCTTCTGAAATCCGATGTCAGCCGGGCAATAGTTGATGATAACAAAGAGATTGTAGATCTGGATCGGGGACTTGATATTGATCTCATAGTGCAATGGAGGTATTGTTGATCATGTTGGTGATTTTTTGGAGCACGAATGTTTCATTCCTAAAGAAAGACTGGGAAAAGAAGGAGAACCTCCTGGATTAGTTAGAGTTCAATCTGGAAGTTATTGCTAATTGTTATTAAACGTTATTTCATTTAAGTTCTTTGCCTTCCACTTTCTTTTTTTGGTGGGTGATGTTTTTCTTAGGAGGAATTTCTGAGTGGCTTTATGATTATTTCTTTTAGAGATTATAGATCCGATGCCTTTGCATGACTATTCTTTATTCTCCACGAAGGCATGCCTTTGTAGTGGAACTAAAATATGCCCAAGGCGATATCTGGTTTCTCTGACATTAGTCTTTTAGATGCTATTCATGTATAGTTTGTTACTGCTTTGCTCATTTTCCTTGATGAATATAAGTTTTAAGTTAAGCTTGAACTGTGTCTAGAAGCGCCTCACTGAGTTGATTTTTTATTATTATTTTATTCATCTGTTCTGTAGACAGTTGCTGTTACATGGGTTCTCTGCCTATTTTTTTTATTTTTTGTCTTTCCATTTTCTCGAGTGGGCGATTCCAATGTGCAAACTGCCAAGTAAATCTCATTGTGTTCTAACTTTGGTCAGGATGCTAGCTCACAAGTTTCTAGAGCAGTCTATGGAATTTGATGCCCATACACCAAAGCAAAAGGCTGGAACATGGTGGTCTTTTGGATGGTAAATGTTACTTGAAATATGTGAATCTCTCAAAACCTGAATATGTGGATACCTCTCAAAACCTGTGCACAATTCTTCTCTGCCTACTTTTGAGCTAAAATATGATCCCAAAAATAATTCAGGGGCGGTCAGTCGTCCAAGGATGAAGATGATCAATTTCATTTCACGGATGAGGACTGGGAGCAATTAAATAAACTGATAGGTTTCAAGGAGAGAGAGGATGGACAGTCACCTGTAGCTAAGGAGAATGCTGACCGCCTTGATACTTCATTGGAGGTTCACATGAACCGTAATGCTACTAAGCTTGTTGATAGGGCTCAGGAGCTACTTGCTGAATTATCTTGTGATGGCCTCAGCTGCACTATCGACCTTTACCAAGAGACGAAAGTGTTCAACTTGAAGCTTGGATCATATCAGTTATCATCTCCCGATGGTCGCATTGCCGAGGTTTGTTTAGGTCTTGTGTTGTTTTAATGTTTGCTTTTGTCAGATTTTCCCTTTCAGGTAATGACTTTTCTCATCTCTTTTGCCTGCAGAGTGCAACTTCTTTTGACTCTTTAGTTGGCATCTTCCGCTACAAGCCTTTTGATGTGAAGGTGGACTGGAGCATGACTGTGAAGGCTTCTCCTTGTTACATGACTGTATGCTGGCCCTTATTCACTTCTCTAAGACAATTTCTTTCTCACCCATGCTGGTTTACTGATCGTCTTCCTTGACCAGTACCTGAAGGATTCAATTGAAGAGATCATACATTTCTTTGAAAGCAATGATGCTGTCAGCCACACTGTTGCATTAGAAACAGCTGCGGCAGTGCAGGTATAACTGTGTTAGCTGTTTTCCAAACCTGGAGGTTGTGGTTGCTTTACCTTTAAGTACTCACGTCACTGCTTCACTATGTTAGTTTCCTGAATTAATTTAGTAGACATTTTGGTTTGGTTTTAAAAGAACTTGATTATCTAGAGGTCCATGTTTCTTCACCAATGCATGTATAGAACGGAATTCCTTGTACATTATTCATAGATCAGTCAACATCTTATGAAGTAAAATGAGTTCTGTGGTTTTCTTTTGGCTGCAACATATAACAATGTAAGTTCAAAAGTAATATGGTTATTTAATTCTGTTAGTTGTTATGGATGTTGAAATGCTCATGGAGGAAGATTAATCTATCTGGTATCATTGTGCTTAGAACTTCCAATGGGTTGCATTATATTTCCATTAAATGGTGCCTGTAGTACTGGGTTTATTTTTATGTTTGAGGAGTACCTAGCTCTGCAATTGTGCCAACAACTCTATTCTCTGTGAGCTAGCAGCTTTTAGTTCAAAGTTGTACTTCGAATATTTGCTTAGGTGTGTTGCTTTAAGAAATGGGTTAAGTGAGTATTGCTTCCATGATTGTCAAAATATCAGTTGTTAGTTCTGGCAAGGAGCTTAGTAAAACTTTGTTGTATTTGGTTAACTCAGTCTTAGAACTAGGAGAATAGGGTGGCAAAAATCTGCGAAAACAGATATGCTCTTTAGAAATGCGATAAAGCATGCATTACATAGCTGCGGTGGCACTGGTTGGTTGTAGGCATTATTTAATCTGTTGGTGTGCCAATATGGGTAACTCTATTAGGGGTAATCTCTGAATCTTCTACCATCAAGGTATAGTTTTGGTTGCATGACTGCGGTTTCCTATGTTCAAAACCTGAAAATGGAAGGAAGTTGGTATTTTTATTAATTTCTTACACTTCTAATTAGATGACCATTGATGAAGTAAAGCGCACTGCACAGCAACAAGTGAACAGAGCATTGAGGGATCATACAAGGTTCGGTATTCTGCATTTCTGTTTTCTGATAAATATTCTTGGAGCTGTCATGTTGACTAATGAGAGTTGTACATTGACTTGCGTACTATCTTAGGGTGTTTTGTAGATATTACCTGTGATTTTGTCTCTTCCCTTTTATGTCCTGGATTTGTAGCAAGCGCCTTATGATGTGTGCTCTTCTTCCCTATGCATTTTCTAGTAGATCATTAGATTTGTCAACAAAAAATAGTATATATGCGAATTGCAAAGATCACTCTATCAAAAACAACCAACCAAACAAATTATTGTTAAGTGAACGCATGTCTCATATGCAGTGAAACTACTATGTGATTCTCTATCTTCTAACATGCTGAGTCATACAAGCAAACATTGCTGCCCACAGGTTTTTGTTGGACCTGGATATAGCTGCTCCAAAGATAACCATTCCCACGGAATTCCGACCTGATGGCAACAATTCTACAAAGCTATTGCTCGACTTGGGAAACTTAGTTATCCGCTCGCAGGTTAGTTCGCCAACCGTGATTGAATTATTGTAATGGTTGGCTAAACTTAATATGTCATGTGCGGTATTTATGCAGGATGAATATGCAAGGAACTACCCCAAGGATCTTGATATGTATTTGCAGTTTGATTTGGTCTTGAGTGACGTTTCTGCCTTTTTGGTGGATGGTGACTACCGTTGGGGCCAAAACACTACAGATATATCTGCTGGGTCAGCTCCTTCTACAGCTGTTACTTGCTTGCCTGTTATTGATAAGTGTGGTGTTAGCTTAAGGCTACAACAGGTAAGTGGCAGACATTCTTCTTTGGAGTTGAAGGCACATATGATAGGATAACTGACAAAATTTGGTGATCATTTATTTCTTTGGCCAATTTCAGATTCGCTTGGAGAATCCATCATATCCTTCACTTAGAGTTGCTCTGAGGATGCCCTCTTTAGTGTTTCACTTTTCTCCGGCTCGTTACCATAGATTAATGCAAGTAGGCAAGATTTTTCAGCAAGAGATTGAAAGTTCGGATCATGTTCACCCCTGGAATCAAGCAGACTTTGAAGGCTGGTTGTCTCTTCTGATCCGGAAGGTCATAAACGACCCCATACGTTCCATCCTCGTTTCTCTTTGGTGACATATCTCTGTGGCAAGCTAATGACCTAATATAGTTTGTAATATTTTGTTTCCTGAACTTTTATCTTGCAGGGCATGGGAAATAGGGAAGCTGTGTGGCAGCGGCGGTACTTGTACTTGGTTGGACCATTCTTATATATTCTGGAAAGCCCTGGTTCAAAATCTTATAAGCAGTACCTCAGGTTCGGACATGAATCGATTTTATGTTGGTTATCTTAAATTATGATCATAATTTTCAATGTTAGATAAAATGAGCCATAGCATCGCTTCAACATGTTCTGGAAATCTCTGGCTATTATTCCTATAGGCAGTATCTTAGCTTCGCACACAATCCATGCTATGACTTATGATAAGAATTTTCAGTGTCTGATAGTAAAGATTAAATCTGTATTTGTAATATTGCAGTCAATTGACAGCAATTGGAATCCTCATTTTGTACTAATCACTGTATTAATACTCTACAAGGATCTTATCGGGTTATGAAATCTGTTACCAGGAGACGATGATTGTCTCTATGTCGTGATCATTTTCCTGCAGTGCACAGTAGATCCCATTGTAATTAGCACTAATGAGTCATTTCTTGGAAGTTTTGGTCAATCAATTGCGTATCTGCTTCTAGGTAGAGCTTACAGCGAAACAGGTTATCGATGCCAATTGTCCTATGTGTTCTGTTTGATGGCTGAATTCATAAAGTTCTGTGGTATTTAAGATGAAAATTTTGCTTTTGAAATTTCTGGTGTCCAGTTGCTAGGTACAGCCTCATCATTGTATTGCTGGATGCTATGTTGGTTTACCTGTATATGTTTCAAAAAATCCTTTTGAATGCTAGCACCGTTCTACCAAGTCGTTAGAAAATGGGGTTGCCATGTGTTGGTTTACCTGCAAGTGTCTCCTTGATGGAATATAGCTTTCAGGACTTGATGGAAAATGTCGATTATAACTGAGGCATCAGTTTGTGTAATTTAATGTTCAGCCTTGTGCGTGATATTAATCCTTGCTGTTTGAGTTACTAGCTGCATTCATGTGCTGCAGCTTGAGAGGGAAGCAGATATATCAACTTGAAGCTGAGTTCGTTGGTGGTGTGGACCATGTGTTGGCTATTTGTGATGCTGGGTATCCTGTTCATAAGGTTCTCTCTCTCTCTCTCTCTCTCTCTCTCTGTATTATGGATTGTCCAGCATACCCCACTGTTCAGGGGTATGCTACATATATCAACCTCCCAACCCATTCCTAGGTGTGTTCTCCAGAAGGAGGAAGGTAAACTCTAATCTCTATGGGGCCTTGGTTAGGATCAAGATTCTACCTTCTTGTATACTGATGATTGTGTTTTATCACCGAGTTGTTCACTTCCAATCCTTGAACAGCAGGTGGTCGAAAATCTAAGTGCGATTATAATGAGGTGCGATTCAGATGATTCATTGAGACACTGGCAAAGCTGCTTTCAAGGAGCAATTTACCGAGCTTCGGTAACTCCTTAAACTTCAATTTCTCATTAGTTCCTTGTTGGTTCAGCTGTCTGACCGGCTCCCAGGCGTGTGGGATATTGCTCTCTGCCTTAAACTACTGCAAATAAATCTCTAAATCTAAGTGGTTGGCAGATCATAAATGAATGCCATAGTTCGTCTTGTTTTAGTTACCTTTTCATCGATTTGTCATTTCCGGAGGTTGCTGAAGAATGGTTATGTGTGAACTCATAGTTCAGTTTTTGACTGATTATAACCTTGAAATGAATTAATCCATGTTGCTTGAGGTTAAGTTAGAAATTAATCATGTCTCAAAAGTCGCCTTTTTCCAGTGGTGCTTTTTTTAGCAGACTTCTGATATACTCATTTCCCTAATTCTTACCGTCTTTCTTGGCGATGCTATGATGTTTGCTATCTGGAGTAAGTTGTATATCATAGAGTAGCATTTCTTACTCTTCGATTTTTCCACAGGTGTCTGCGCCTATCACTACTCTTTCAGAAACTTCATCTGATTCAGGGGACTCTGAAGCTGAACCTAATAAACAGCTCAGTGCAACTGAGGGATTAAAGATGGAGCATATATATTTGACTGGCATTCTGGATGAACTCAAGATACGCTTTAATTACAGTCTTCAAGTATGCCGAACAGTTTCTTTGCCTCTAGGATTCATATCCATACTGAAAAGTTGTTGAAAATCTGATAAGTTCCTATTTTCCGCAGCCTGAACGTAGTTTCTTGAAAATCCTTAAAGCTGAAGAGAATAGTCTATTTGAATTCCGAGCATTAGGTGGCCAGGTATGATTGGTGCTGAGTATTTATGGCTCTGATGGTTGTCTATCTTCCCTATCTAACTTGTTGTCTATTTGTGATTTCAGGTGGAACTTTCACTCAGGGATAATGACCTGTTCTTAGGTACTCTTGTGAAGTCCATGGAAATTGAAGATCTAGTTTGCCGCAACGGTGTCACTCGGCCTCGATTTCTTGCCAGATCATTTGTCCATAGTGCAGATGGATATGCATTTTCTGAGTCTAGTGACAATCAGAGTCCTGACAATTGTAATTCAGCTCCTAGTGAAGGAGAAGACCGGTTTTATGAAGTGGCAGAAAATTTGGCTGACAATGATGACCTGGTGTCACCAAATTCGGCTGGTTCTAAAATTTCATTGGTCAAGGCTCCTAGTTTTAGTCGTATTGCTGGGTTACTCCCTGGCGGTGAGAACCTTGAGCCAACTCATACCTTGGACAGTTTCGTGAAAGCTCAAATAACAATCTATGATAAGAACTCCTCCCTATATAATAACATTGATACTGAGGTGGGTGATTTATTTACTTCAAGTGATCATCTTGTTTCCCTGATATTCTGCAGTGACATCATTCTTAAGATAATTGTTTCAGGTAAAATTGACCCTGGCTACTTTGTCATTTTTCTGCCGTCGGCCCACTGTCCTAGCTATTATGGAGTTTGTTAGCGCTATCAACACTGACGAAGAAACTGATGAATCGGTTGGCAGTGCTTCAGCAGCAACCACAGAGAATGATAGGTCCACTGAGAATCTGGTTGATGATGACATTGTTGGAACCCAAGAACCTGTTGTTAAGGGTTTGCTAGGGAAGGGAAAATCTCGTGTCATATTCAATTTGGTATTGAATATGGCTCGTGCTGAAATCTTGTTGATGAATGAGAATGAAACGAAGCTGGCTACTCTGTCACAAGATAATTTACTTACAAATATAAAGGTGAGTTTATTATCTATCCCTACTTCAACATTTAGTATCTGTAATCACATTATCATTATGACTGATCTCCTGATTTGGTCTTTTTGTGGAAAGATCTTTCCAAGCTCCTTTAGCATTGTTGCAGCCCTTGGAAATTTAAGAATAAGTGATGACAGTCTTCCCAGTAGCCACTCATATTTTTGGATATGTGATATGAGGAATCCAGGTGGCAGTTCATTTGTTGAGGTAATTTACAGTGTCGCATTTTTAGCTTTTTCTTGTCTTCTTTAAGCCAAATGTCATACATTCCTGGGTATGAATGGAATACTTTTAGCACTAGACTGAGTGCTATATTTCGTTTGAAGGCCATATGCACTTGTCTTGCCATCATTATAATAACATACGCAACTCTGTGAATTTTGTTTTTCTTATGTGACCTGTCCTGCAATTTGTACTTGAGCGTTTCATGACATTTTAGTTGTGTTTATCCTTTTGCAGTTGACGTTTACTTCATTCAGTTTTGATGATGAAGATTATGAAGGTTATGAGTACAGCCTTATTGGGAAGCTTTCAGAAGTTCGCTTTATTTACCTAAATCGCTTTGTCCAGGAGGTTGATTAATTTTCCAGCATTATTTGTATGTATTTCAGCGTCAGATTATTTCTCTTAGCTCCTCATGTTAGTATCAAATTTCACCTGTAGATTGCCAGTTACTTTATGGGTCTTGTTCCTGAGAACTCAAACAGCATAGTCAAATTGAAAGATCAGGTGACAAATTCTGAGAAATGGTTTATGACGAGTGAAATTGAAGGATCGCCTGCTTTGAAGTTGGATCTTTCTCTAAGGAGCCCAATAATATTGATGCCACGAAGAACTGATAGTGCCGAGTAAGTCATCTCAATGATCCACTTTTCCTGATTTAGTTGGCATTCAGTCACATGGGCTATTAAATTACTAAGATCTATGTTTTGACAGTTACTTGAAGCTTGATGTGGTTCACATAACTGTAAAGAACACATTCCAGTGGCTGCATGGCAATAAAAGTGACATGAACGCTGTGCATTTGGAAATATTGACTGTACAGGTGACATATAGCAAGAAGAGTTTTCTCATTTAGCTTTCCTACATTGTTGGACTTGGAAAAGTGTCGGTCGTTTCCTCTGCTGACTGGCTCTTGAAATGGTCTTAATTTTCATTCTTATGGCATTTAGGTTGAGGACATCAATTTGAATGTTGGTACCGGCACTGAATTGGGTGAAAGCATAATTCGCGATGTGAATGGTGTTTCAATTGTAATTTGGCGGTCACTACGGGACTTGCTACATCACATGCCAAGTATAGAAGCCACTGTTAAGGTATAGTATCTACTCAGTTCTGTCAAATGTCATAGTGCATAATTTCTTGTCTGCTCATGTGAATGTTTATGTCTGTGTTTGTGAATTGACAAATTACAAATCTTCAGTATAAGAGAGTGTTACCCACAAATCAGTTCCCGGAACACTGATAGTGCGTACAGTCCTTTCCAACTATGTAAACAGTACTATGCATCAGCATTTTCATTAATTTGTTCCTTGTGATATACATTAGCTACTCCTCTCAAGCTATGCATGTTTGTGATTCTCTCTTGGGAATATTTTATAACAGTGACATATTGCTAGATTAGAAGGAAAAAAAGGGTACATTAACGAGTTTGAGAAAGGGTATGGACTTGCCCAATTAAAGGATTACGTCAAGGATGATTTTGTGGAGAGTTCCACAACATGCTTTCTTTACTTGTTATAGTCTGAACTCTGATTGAGAAATTTACATTGTGTTTTTAAGTTTGCTGCTGGTTTCATTCATTTTCCCCCCACTAAGGATGTTGGTTTAACGCTGTTGTTGAATCTTGTTCTTCAGATAGACAAACTAAAAGCGACTCTATCGAACAAGGAGTACCTGATCATTTCTGAGTGTGCACTATCCAACATTTCTGAGACTCCTCATACTGTGCCCCAATTGAGAACTGATTCTTCAGCATCTACCGATCGTGTGGTTGAACCTGTTGCAAATGAACCAGCTGGTAATGAACCCCAAAATGCAAATGAAGGAGCCTGGGTCTCAATGAAAGTTGGTATAATGATCAATCTGGTTGAACTCTCCTTGCATTCTGGAAGGTCCAGAGATGCAGCTCTTTCAACTATACAAGTAATGCCATTAACTTTGATATTTCCCCCTATTTGGTAGTGGAGAGTGGATACTTGGCAAGGTGACTTACTAAAGTTCTTAGTTGTTTGTTTGTCTGTGTTATTCACTTCCTCTATTTTCTTATCCTGAAGGGATATTAAAAACGTTGCATCAGGATTTTTTTGGGCCAGCATAGAAATGCTAATTTATGGAGTTGCCAACTTTTCTAAAGGGATTAGGTCTGTCCACGAGGAGCGTTCTTACATCTTAATGTTCTGTCCCTTATTTGGCTAGAGAGCTATTCTTATTTTTTCTCTGATAGGTCACCAACAATAAAAGGGACTTGGAATTTATTATTGTTTATCTTCTTTTGCTAATTAGAACTTTTTTCCATGCACATTGTACATTTGATTGTAATTTATGAGTGGGTACTTTCCGAGTTAGGTTTGATGCTTCTCAATGGCTGTGATTTATGCTTTTGCATTTTGCTTTTAACGTTTGCTTTAACAATTCCTTGGGTTTCTATTTCACCCTTTGGAGTCATCATCATGATCAATTGTTGTGGCCGAACATCATTGCTAGGTTGGATTGACAAGTTATTGTGCCATCTTGATAAACAATTGGTTCAGAAGTACAGATTGATTGCTGATAATGCTGTTTTGTTTAATCTTTGAATTGCTGATGTTCTAGGCTACTGGTGCATGGCTTCTCTATAAGTCCAATAACCTTGGGGAAGGGTTTCTCTCAGCGACACTTAAAGGCTTCTCTGTGATTGATGATCGGGAGGGGACAGAAGAAGAATTTAGGTTGGCTATAGGGAGACCCAAAAAGATTGGATATGGATATACTCACACTTCACAAAATCCTGGAAACAAGACTGTTGCTGATCCTGTAAAAGAAAGGAAAATTGAGCCAGTTCCTACAATGCTCATCCTTGATGCGAAATTTAGTCAGTCCACCACATTTGTTTATCTTTGTGTTCAAAGGCCGCAACTCCTTGTGGCAGTGGATTTTCTTCTGGCTGTTGTTGAGTTCTTTGTTCCAGCGGTTGCCGGTACTCCTTCAAATGATGATGCAATTGAAGTAGATGATGCAGTTGTAGTAACTGAACCAGTTTACAAGCAACCTTCAGTTGAAATCTCATTTTCTCCTTTGAGACCATTGATTGTTGATGGTGAAGCCTCTGAGCACTTCATATATGACGGTGAAGGGGGAACCTTGCATCTTAAAGATAGACTTGGAGTGAACCTTTCTGTACCTAGCAAAGAGCCAATTATTTATGTTGGTGATGGGAAAAAGCTGCAGTTCAGGAATGTTGTGATCAAGGTGTGACTTGCCTTATTTTCTTATTTAGTCTTTTCTAATCTGGTAATACTCACCAGGAATATAACCCCTATACCCTTTCATGTTCTGTTGACTAGAATGGGCGATATTTGGATTCTTGCATTTTATTGGGGTGCAATAGCTGCTACTTTGCGTCAGAGGATGATCATGTCTACCTTGAGGAGGCTGATAGCACTCCCTCTGCAGACCTTCTGATGAATAGTCATGATGGTTCACCGTCTCAAGATAATTTGGCCGAGAGAGCCATGGAGGTCATTGTTGATTTGCAGGTCAGGGAATCAGGGATTGGTTTCCACTTTTTCACTTTGCATTTTCATTTTTCATTACTGAAATTGTGAATAGCTTTGTTCCTACCGGACTCTGCTTCATGTGTACCGCTATGGCTACTTTTATTTGCTCCGGTCAAATGATTATCTATGGGCATGGAAATTTTTTAAATATGAATGGCACCTGACTCCTTTTTCTGATGATGATGCATACAAAATATCCACACTTCGATACTTATGTGTTTATAGCTGTGCATAAAATAGAAGCTTCGCATAGAGCAATCCTTGTTATGGGTGAGGAAGGCAGGGTCTTGAGAATTGATACAATGCTAACCACATGCATGTAAAAATCAGATAATGATAGCATTCATACTGGTAGTGCACATCAAAGTTGTGACAGAAGATAGGATTGTGCCTATATGTTAGGATTTGGACCATCAATCTGCTGTGCTCATGCCTTGTGCCTTGATTGATCGTTTTATTTTTCATTCTGGTTAAATTTAAGTGATCAGCATGGCTCTCTATGGCTCTGCTGCTGACTCTGTTGCTGTTTCTGGCAAATGCTATTTGTTAAAACTTTGCTTCTAGGACTCAGGTTCATATCCAACATTTATATTCTTATGTCTACCTGCCACTATTTACAGGCTATTGGTCCTGAGCTGACTTTTTACAGTGCATCGAGGAACTTGGGGGTGTCTTCGATCCTTTCCAGCAAGCTGTTGCATGCACAGTTGGATGTATTTTCCAGGTCATACTCCTTCACGTTTGTCTTTTATGGGTGGGAGCTATTTGACATCTGATTGTTTTTGTTTCTTCGTTTGTATGCTTTCTCCAATTATTGGTTATTTGTCTCAAGAGCGATCCATATTCTTATATCCAAAGTTAAGTAGTGACCCTCTTCGATATGTAGGAATGTCATATATTGTCACGGTGAGTCAGTGACATTTTCATTATTATTCTCTTGACTTCAATTTTTTAACTTCTTAACATTCCATGTTCTTGGCTTTGATTTTGTAAGAGTTTATATTACTATAAAAACTACTTGTGTACCTTGTTTCCAATTGATTTTCTGTTTTGCATTACTCTGCCATGTAAAAGACTGTCTTTTTTGGAACGGCCACTCATTGATGCTTTTTAAAGTGTTTTGTGTGGGCCATTGGCTGTGAATGCTCGTTCCAATTGACACTGAAGTGAAATACTGTTTTCATATCCAACGGGTCGACTCTGCTGTCTATTTTCTCAGTTCACTTGGGCAGGACCCATGATATGAAGCTCCTCAGTTACGGTTATTTTGTGTACTCGTTGGAATAAATGGTCAACTAGGTCCTTCAAACTTCAGTTTTTGCTTACTTGTTTCTGTAACTTTCAACAGGACGAATTTAAGTTCTCTAGCTTTTAAAGTGTCGGTAGTCTTTCAGCTTACAAATATGAGTAAGTTTTTTCTGCACTCAAATTTCACATGGAAATTCTTCAGCTTGACCACTGTTTCAAGTTAGAGGGCTTAAGTGACCTAGCAAGACCTTAGAGTCCTAAGTAACCCTTGGCTGTAAGTTAGATCCTTAATTAAGGGCCTTCCCTGACAAGTTTTCTCGAATTTTTCCTACTACATGACATTTTGGGCTAGAATTAAGTGTCCGAGGATCTGCAGGTTTTTGTAGTATGTATGAGAAATGTCTTCATGATTCCTTTTCATGAATTGACGGGGTCTCTGTATCATCAGGATTGTAATGAAGGGTGATACAGTTGACATGACTGCAGAAGCACTTGGTCTGATGGTGGAAAGCAATTCAATCAGGATCTTGGAGCCCTTTGATACATTTATTAAATATTCCAAAGCTTCTGGAAAAACAAACATACATGTATCTGTTTCGGACATATTCATGAATTTTACTTTTAGTGTCTTGAAGTTGTTTCTAGCAGTTGAAGATGACATTTTGGCCTTCCTGAGGACAACTTCAAAAGAGATGACAGTATCATGTTCTGAGTTTGACAAAGTTGGAATGTTTCGAAGTATGTGCTTTGTTTCTTCTGTTTTCTATATCATGCAAATGGCAAGGGATTTCAAAATCTGAAGACTTGAAATTTTGTTAATTTGTTTACAGATTCCTGTAATGATCAAGTTTATGTCTTCTGGCGACCCCGTGCTCCTCCTGGCTTTGCAGTGCTTGGTGACTACCTGACACCACTGTCAGTAACTTCATACTCTGGAATGATTGTTAATTCATTTCTGCTGCCAGCGTCTTTCTTAACAACGGTTTCTCTTGCCAGGGACAAGCCACCTACTAAAGGAGTTCTTGCTGTAAATACAAACCTAGTGAGAGTGAAGAGACCGTTATCTTTTAAGTTGATATGGTCATCATCAACTTCAAGGGAATTTGCTAATCAACATTTAACCAGTCCTAAAGTGTTGACACCTGGCGTTGTCAGCACGGAAGACAGTTGTTCAATATGGTTCCCTGAGGCGCCAAGAGGTTATGTTGCACTGGGATGCGTGGCCTCTGCAGATATAATGCCGCCATCTTTGTCTTCAGTGTTTTGCATCTTAGCTTCTCTTGTGTCTCCCTGTTCATTGAGGGATTGTGTTGCCATCAGCTCGACCAATGGGTAGGTTGAATGTTTAACTAAAGTTTTTGGATTATGGTTGGCTGTGCATGCTTGAATGCAGCTGTGGGCAGAAGGAAATTTCTCTGTCATACTAATACTATTGCATATCTAGATATGTCTCACTAGTTTTTGTAAATCATTTGCATGTCAACACCAGTTGCAGTTCTCTAGACTCTAATTGTCCAAGACTCTTTTCTGCTTTCTTTTTTCTTGTAATGTTGTAAGGTCCAGGTTGTCTGCTATACAATTCTGGATTTCATATGTTTGTCTCATAGACCATAATTTCTTACAGTTTCTTCTCTTATTCTTTTTGTGATTCTGCATTTACTTACAGGCGAGAACCCAGCTTGGCCTTTTGGCGTGTGAAAAATTCTTTCGGTACCTTTTTACCTGCTGATCCTACATCACTTGCCGTAACTGGTAGTGCATATGAACTGCGTTCTGAAAAATATGGATATTCAAAAGTCCTCCGAAATGCATTGAAAAATTCAGAAGTGCAGGATTCTCCTCCTGGTCGTGCCAACACATTGAATCCAGAACAATCTATTGCTGCAAACTCTGGTAGACGTTTCCAAGAAATTTCTTCTTTTCAACCTCTTTGGTCGAATCGATCTGCAAATTCAAGGAAGAAAGTATCCATATGGCGTCCAGTGGTCCCGCAGGGGATGGTATATTTTGGTGATATCGCAGTTAATGGGTATGTAGCTCTGACAGTGATTAAATATCTTCAATGTACTCATGTTCCTGTGGAGATAAGAGTTATATTTGGTTTCATGGCATGTAGGTATGAGCCTCCTAATAGCTGCATTGTCCTTCATAACATGGAAGATGAGGAAATTCTTAAAGCTCCACTCAACTACCACCTCGTTGGACAAATTAAGAAACAGAGGGGTGTAGATAATATAAATTTTTGGATGCCACAAGCTCCACCTGGCTTTGTTTCACTGGGTTGTATTGCTTGTAAAGGCTCCCCGAAACAGAACGATTTCAGTAAACTAAGATGCTTGCGCAGTGACATGGTTGTGGGGGATCAGTTCTTGGAAGATAGTTTGTGGGATACATCTGACATCAGGTCAACAACAGAACCATTCAGTGTATGGGCTGTTGGGAACGAGTCAGGGACCTTTATTGTACGCGATGGCTTAAAAAAACCACCTCGAAGGTTTGCTCTAAAGCCGGCAGATAATCCACAAAGTGGTTCAGATGATACTGTGATCGATGCTGAAATTGGAACCCTATCTGCAGCCATTTTTGATGACTATGGTGGCTTGGTAAGATATATTAGTTATTTTCCTTTATATTTGTTGAATGTTAGAAGGTGGTCAAATTCAGGAGTAGAGTTCTTCAAATCTGGGGGAATAATAATTTTCAATATGATACCTTAGCATTGTATTTCTGATCTGATGTGAGCAACTTGATTGTTGGTAAAAATTTCAGTATCTTGAAGAATTTTTTGGAGTTACCATACCGAGTCCTGAAGAATTACTTGTCACTTTCTTTATATTCCTTTTTTTCTTTGACATCGTGATACTTGTCAGTTTATTGACATACATTGCTGTTTGTTTTATTGATTGCTGATTTTCCTCTTTGTTTCTATCATTCTATTGTTGCGGCAGATTTTATGGGAAAGATATCTACTTTCAAGGAATTGTTCATTGTCTGTCACAACTTAGAAATTTCTAGGGAGGAAGTAAAAATCAACTCACCAATGTGTTCCTTATGCATTAGAGTCTTAGACCTTGTCAAACACCATTTTTTGTGATGATGTGAATGCAACAATTCGCCAGCTTTTCTGATCGTTCTAGACTTACATTGGTGCTTAGGGCCTTGATTATCAAGGTTGTTTGCTGGTGATTTTATTTTTGACTTCAAGGTCCAGCAGAGTAAGTATATTATTGAAGTGTGCAATGTTATTCTCTGGTTTGCCTGTACTCTTCTATCCAAACCATGATTACATCTTTGGGGAATTCAATTGAGGTATCTATTTATCTGGGTTGTTTGGTTTGTCTGCTCCAATCTGCAGATGGTACCGTTGTGCAATGTGTCATTAAGTGGAGTGGTGATTGGTTCACATGGAAGGCCCGAGTACTCAAATTCTACTGCCAGCTTTTCTTTGGCTGCCAGATCATATAACGATAAATATGAAGCATGGGAACCGCTCATTGAGGCAGTAGATATTTTTTTAAGGTATCATTTCCTTGGGATCGGTGTAGGACTTGTGTTATAGATATGAAACATCTGTTGTGCATGAAATCCATGATCTAATGCTTGATATTTCCAGTTGACCTAATTTTCATGAAATTACCTTGAAATCTTTGGGTTAGTCAGCTGCATAGCATAGCAGTCTTCTCTGTGTTGGAAGTAAATTCTGGTTGCTACAGGTACCAGTATGACGGTAATGCTTCAGGAGCAGCTTCTCAGTTGCGTTTGACCTCAACTAGGGATCTTAATGTCAACATTTCAGTGTCTAACGCTAACATGATCATTCAAGCTTATGCAAGTTGGAGTAATCTCAGTACTGTCCACGAAGAATACAGCAATAGAGTAAGTTTGGCCTTCTGACTCTTCCGTCTGTTATACACAGGGTGTGCCTTGAGAATACTGCTGGGTTGCTTAGTGTCCTGCTTTATTGGACAGGAATCATATTCTCCTGCCTACAATTCTACCTCTGTTGTTGCTGTCCATCATAAACGGAATTTTTTTATAATTCCACAAAACAAGCTCGGTAAGGACATTTTCCTACGAACAGCAGAAAACAGGGGTCTGTCAAATTCTATAAGGATGCCGTCTGGGGACATGAAACCTGTGAAAGTTCCTGTATCCAAGAACATGTTGGACTCGCACTTGAAAGGGAAACGATGCCTCAAAATAAAGGCAATGGTGACAGTTATAATAGCAGATGCCCAGGTATGACTTACTTTCTATTTGTCAAATGACTGCAAGACCGGTCAAAGTCATCAACTGTAGAGCTGATTCTTAATCGAATGTGGATTGTGTTTTCATTACCTCTTCTATTTATGGAGGCTACATTTCTGTGTTTAAATCTTAGCTCCATTGTATTTTTTATTTAAGTCTCAGTTGGGACTAGGGTGACCAAATAAGAGAGAATAAGGGACGGGCTATACGAACCTTCCTATTGAACAATATTAGGCTGCATCTTGGATGGTGTTTGTGATAAATGTATGCTCATGTTTACTGTCTAGCTTCATATTTACTTAGTGGTCTATTGACTATTGAGGACACTTGAATCCTTCAGCTCTATAAACTAACGCACTCCCCTATTTATGGTTGGAGTTGAGCTATTAATGACATGATTTGGATCTGATTTCACTATTGAAAAGGAAAAATATATCTCTAGATCTTCTTTGCGGACGAGGATCGTTGATACTTTGTGCTGCTATGACTATTGCATGCTGAAAATCCTCTTAAAATTATCTGGAACAAAGAACTCAACATCAGTGGGTGATTCTGTAGTTCATTAGCTATAGTTGGCGGTGATGGCAAATCTTAGTGACCATATGTAATCAGGTTGTTCATCGCATTGTTGATCCATGAGTTTATGTGTCACCTTACCATACGGTTGGCTGTGACGTGCATGGAGAGTTTCTTTGTTTAAGCATAAATCAAGAATGGAATTAGTTTTGTGAATCATTTGGTGCAGATGTTGGTTGCAATCGGGATATGATAACATAAAGCTATTTAATTTCATTAGTAAAGGAAATACTTTTTTCTTTGGTTTTTATCTGGAATTCAGACATTTTGATCTTAGAATGAAGTTCATAAAGTGCTTGATTTGTGATTCATATGGTGACTAGAATCTACACGTGTGTGTATTGGGTTTATCCTTTCATGTCACTTAGTCCTTCAAGGTTGTTCTTGCAGCTTCCAGGATTGGAAGGCTTGACGTCTAATCTATACACTGTAGCTATCCGTCTTCGTCGAAATGGAGACATTGCAGCTGATTCAGAGCCTCATAAACAAAGTCGACGTACTAGTGGAAGCATCTCAGCTGATGGCACTTCAGAGCTCGAATCTGTAACTTGGAATGAAATATTTTTTTTCAAAGTTGATTCTCCGGTATGGAAGACTTCCTTTATTTTTCTTTTGTCCTTTTCCCCCCTTCTGCAAAGTGCTGTTATAGCTCCTTCGTTGTTGGATATTTAGTGGCGTACATGAAAAAGTATAATACCTATCAGAAGCTATTCTACCATTTACCAAATTTGAAATTAAACCCCAACCGAAGTGAGCCTGGCAGTATTATTTTGCCAAATCTGGTTTCAATATTTGCCCATCTCTACATCAAGAGCTATCTATATTGAAGCTTCATGCATTTGGGATCAAAAGCTCTCGACTATTCCAGTTCTACATTAATATATCCATATATGCATGCTCATATCTACCAAATGTGTATTTATCTTTGTCGATGTGTACATATTTTTTTTATGCATGTACTCTGCGTGGTGATTTAATTATCCTTTGTAAGAATTGTCTTAATCACCTGCTTACAAGTTAGACCTCTGCAAAATATCTCATTAAAAGTTGCCTTATGATTGCAGTCGTTTTGGGTTTCTATTTCAGTTTTGGTCCTGTCGAAGAAAAATCTTCCCAACATACTTGCTTTCAGTTTCCCAACTCCGTATTTGCTTTCTATATCATAACCAGAGCAATGTTTTCCACTGTGTTTTAAATCTTCATGTATTGCCTGTTGCAAGATCTCAGTTTAACAAAGTTTTCTATGACAGGAAAATTACATGCTGGAACTCCTTGTGACCAACATTGGGAAAGGTGTATAGAAAATAATGCCATTACAATCTTCCCTTAAAAAAATGGCGTATTGCCAGAGTGATCTTCTATATAAATACAGTTAACTGTTCTTCATTGAATTGGTTTTCTTGTTTTAGGTGATCCTGTTGGGTTCTTCTCTTCTCCTCTGAAACAAATTACAAGAAGTATCGAAGGAAGTTTCCGTAAATATGATTATTTAGATTACCTGAGTTGGATAGAGTTGTCTTCCGCGAAATCAATGGTATAACCATCTTTTGTCTTCTATTCTTTTTGGTAATTCAGTCTCTTATCGTGGACAGTTTTAAACAAGTAAATTGTACATCTAGGAAAGATCTCTTGTTCTTTTATGTGTTTTTTCCTTGACAAATACGTCTACGTGTTGGTATTTCCATGCAGACTACGGGTCAAGGTTATGAACCTGGAAAGTCTTCTGGGAAATTAAGATGTGCTATATTCTCATCGTCTTTGTCAGAAGTGGATAGTAGAGACAACTTTCCTATTCTTGGCCAAAAATCTGGAAATATTCAAATAAGTCCTAATGATGAAGGACCTTGGACTAGTGTGAGGCTAAACTATGCTGCACCTGCTGCTTGTTGGCGTTTGGGCAACGATGTTGTTGCCAGTGAAGTGAATGTGAGGGATGGCAATAGATATGTGACTATAAGGTCTCTGGTTTCTGTTCGGAACGACACCGACTTTCTGCTTGATACTCGGCTGGTATCCAAAAGTTCCTATGAGATGGTCAGGTCACAGGAGGCAAGTAGCTCTGAAGCTTTGGACATTGGTAATGATGGAATTCAGGTTGAGGAGTATTTTGAAACTCAAACATATGACCCCACCAATGGTTGGGTAAGCTGCTCCTCCTGCTCTGGCAATGGTTGGGTAAGTCAGCAATATTTTCTCTTCAGTTCTCTTTCACGCACAGCCTGCATGGAAGTCCCGTCTGTTTTCGTAAGTTTAGGGTTCTGGTCGGAAAAAGTTTGTATTGTCCAAAGTCTGATGATTGGGGAAGCATGTATTTCCACTTCCTAAATTATGCGTTGTCATGCTGTTGTTGGGAGTCATTTCCTGCTTTCTGTCATGCAAGTTGTAATAAATGAATCCATAAAGACTGGTCAGCCTCCCCCCTAGAAGGTCTTCGTTGCATTTTTATTGAATAGCTTGGAATAGTGACTGATCTCCCGCTGTACTGACTTTCTGAGTGTTAGGTTAAGAAGCACCTTAACAGAATTACATCAGGCTAAGAAAAACTGTTTTACTTGACCAAAGGGTGTATAGTTCATTGAATTCTTGCAACTTAGTCATGATGTTGTTTCAGGTATAGTTCTTAAAGGCATTCTGCTGTCCAATCTACAATAACGGATGAAAAGGACAAGTGTATCTTCATTTTTATCCAAATCTCCTTAATAATCGTGTTCTGTCATGATATTACCTTGTGGTTAGAAACATGGCAAATTGGCTGTGACCAATATGGAATTTGACCAAGTCTTGTAGTTCAAGGAAAATTACTATATTTGTTGCTATTATCTGAGATGCGATGGTGTTCAATTATACAGGCAAGACCTGAGGTTGAGTTGCCTTCAGACTGGGAGTGGACTGATGATTGGCATTTGGATACATCACCTGTCGATAACGATGATGGTTGGGTATACTCTCCAGATATAAAAAGTTTAAGATGGCCTGAGTCATTTGATAAATTGAACTCTACGAACCGTGCAAGGCAAAGGAGATGGATCAGGAATCGAAGACAAGTTTCAAAAGAGTTGACGCCTGAAATTTCTGTTGGATTGTTGAGACCCGGCGAGACTCTACCAGTCCCATTGCGAGGCTTGACACAGTCTGCAATGTACATCTTGCAGTTAAGACCTTCAAATCCGGGTTTGCCGAGTGAATATTCCTGGAGTTCAGTGGTGGATACAAGTACTCAAGTAAAAGATTCATGTGGGCCCAGAGCTTCGACTCAATTATGTTTATCATCCCTTGTGGAGTCTGAGGAACTTTTGTCGTGCACGCAGATAACTGGTACTTCTTCAGGTAGTTCACCTAGTTATTGGTTTTCAGTGAGCATCCAGGCAACAGAAATTGCAAAGGACATTCGTTCCGACCCTATCCAGGATTGGATGCTTGTGGTCAAATCTCCATTGTCTATTAGCAACTATCTTCCCCTTGCAACTGAGTACTCTGTTCTTGATAGACAAGCAGATGGTCATTTTGTTGCATGTGAAAGGGGAATATTTTCTCCTGGTAAAACAGTAAGGATTCATACAGCTGATATAAGAAATCATTTGTTCTTGTCTCTGCTTCCACAGAAAGGATGGTTACCAATAAATGTAAGATATAAAGGATAATTTGGCTTCTTTATCAATGTTACCTGCATGCACACACTTATCTTTCCTTTATTGCTTGCAGGAAGCTATTCTTATATCACAACCCCAGGGCGCACCCTCAAGGACAATGACTTTAAGAAGTTCGATTTCCGGAAGGTACGGTTATAGGCCACCACCTTTTTGTCGTTCCATTTACTGGAGGTTTCTGGAATATTCATATTCATTTCTTGTTTGATATTCCTCTCTATGTTTGAACATGCAGGGTTGTTCAACTATTAATTGAGCAAAATTATGATCACGAGCGACCGCTGTTGGCTAAGACCATTAGAGTGTATGCTCCTTACTGGTTCTCAATTTCCAGATGTCCTGGGATCACCTGTAGGCTTGTGGACCTGGCAGGTAAGAAGCAGAGCCGGAAGATTACTCTTCCATTCAAGTCCAGAAAGAGCAGTGATACGGTTCTTGGGGAGATAACTGAAGATGAAATAAATGAAGGATATACAATCGCTTCGGCTTTGAATTTTAGTCTGATGGGCCTCTCTGTTTCTATCACCGAGTCTGGGGAGGAACCTCAATTTGGCCCTGTCAAAGATCTCTCTTCATTGAGCAATCTGGTACATGAATACTATCGGTCTTCTTTTGTTTTCCGTTATGAACTTCACCATAATCTTCCTTCCTCTGTAATATTTTTGGTTTCTGGTTGCTAGGATGGATCATTGGATATCTATGCAAATGATGCCGATGGTAACTGCATGCAGCTTTTTGTTTCTGCGAAGCCGAGTCCCTACCAATCTGTTCCAACAAAGGTACTTTTAAATTTTATTTCAGAATCTTTAGAAAGATATCCCTTGAAGTTTCTGACTGTTTATCTCCCTCTGCTAGGTGATTTCTATTCGCCCGTTCATTACATTTACGAACAGACTTGGTGAGGACATCCTTATTAGACTAAATGCTCATGATGACCCAAAGGTTCTCCGGTCATATGATTCAAGAGTCTCATTTTTGCATCGAAGAATAGCTGGTAGTAATAAACTACAGGTTAGTAGATAGTTGTCTTATTCCAAATGTTTCTGCATTGTCTCTTGTCGTGGTTGATCATTTGAAGGGAAATATATCAATTAGCATTTGATCCTTGTTTTATTTCTTGCAGGTTCAGTTAGGAAATACAGAGTGGTCTTATCCATTGGAAATTGCAAAGGAGGACACAGTATTTCTAGCTTTGAGAGAACCAAGTGGTGCTCGTAAGTTTTTGAGCATGGAAGTTCGGGGCTTTGAGGAAGGATCACGCTTTATAGTCGTATTTCGTCTGGGACCAACCAATGGTCCTATCAGGTAAGTCGTCTGCAAATTTTCAAAATCTTGTCCTTATCACAAGTATTTGTGTTAGGTAAAAAAGCAGTGGCTTCACGATAAACATTTGATTCGCAGGATTGAGAACAGAACATTTGGCAAGACAATAAGCATCCGCCAATCTGGGTTTTCTGAGGATGCTTGGATTAATGTGAATCCCGTTTCAACAACAAGCTTTTCCTGGGACGATCCCTATGGGCAAAAATGTCTTGATGCCAGGGTTCTCAATGAAAGCAGAATGGATGTTTGGAAACTTGATTTAGAAAGCAGCGGAGTGCCATCTGCAGTGGATGAGGAGAGAGGATTGCAGTTCCAGATTGTTGAAATAGGAGATGTCAAGGTTGCTAGATTTATTGACTATAAAGTTGGACCTTTAATGGAAGGGAGCAATGTCATGGTGTTCCCTGGAAATTGGGGCATTTCCTATGTGAGGAATGATGTGCAGAGTAACAGCATCCCTGTTGAACTCATAGTGGAGTTTGGAGTGGTTGGGATTTCTGTTGTGGATCTCAGGCCAAAAGAGTTAACATACATGTATTTTGAGAGAGTATTTATATCATACTCAACTGGCTGTGATGGTGGAGCAACAAGCAGGTATGTGGTTTGTTTTCTGAATACTCTGTAACAAACTCATTCTTCTGCCTTGTTGTAATTTAATTGATGCTTCGAATATCCCACATTGACTGTCGTTTTTCTTTCAAGTCAAAGTTGATGCTTCAGATTGACCGAAGAAACAAAGTTGATGCTTCAGATATCTGTTTATTACAGGTTCAAGCTGATACTTGGTTATCTGCAATTTGACAACCAGCTCCCGCTGACCTTGATGCCAGTGCTTTTGGCTCCTGATCAGTCTGCCAATGTGCACCACCCGGTGTTTAAGATGACAGTCATGGTGTGCAATCAGAATACTGATGGAATCCTGGTCTACCCATATATATACATTCGGGTAATAGACCAAGGCTTTTGTGACAGGACTTCTTATTATACCCTGTTTGCAACATTGAGCAATATGAATGAATGTATAGAACTTATTTGTGCAAAATTTGAACTATAGGTGACTGAAAAAGTCTGGAGGCTTAATATTCACGAACCAATCATCTGGGCGTTAGTGGATTTCTATAGCAATCTACAGCTGAACTCTTTGCCTCAAACCTCTGGTGCTGCACAAGTTGATCCAGAGATACGTCTGCAGTAAGTTATCCTCTCACATACACTGTGGAAGATTTTCTGACTGCTCCCTTAGATTATCCTCCAATGTCCTGTTATAGCGCCTGCTAGTGTTTTTGGAACGGGAAATGGAAGGAACAGGCTGCTGTTGCATATGTAATTTGTCTTCAAATGGTCAAGTTTCTAGGGGAGGTTCAGTATTGAGTCCTAACCCCTCACATGGAAGCATGCACGGTTTTACCTTGTGCTTAAATCAATTGTTTGCTCAAAGCCTAGATATTTTTATGAGCCAACCGGTTTTCCTCTCTGTTTTTCGTTTAGGTTACTCCACCTGGAATTTTTGTTAATAGTTACCAGATTGTGAAATTTTATCGAGTTATTTTCACTGGGAAAAAAAGAAGAAGATAAGAATAGATGATAATGCTTGAGAATATACCCCTAGAAGATGCAAATTGCCACATTCAGCTGGAGTATTGACCTTACAGTAGTTACATTCTTATCAATAATTGTTGATTTCTGCCAGGTTAATAGACGTTTCAGAAGTAAGATTGAAGGTGTCCCTTGAGACTGCCCCTTCTCAGAGGCCACATGGGGTTCTTGGCGTATGGAGCCCAGTACTCTCTGCTGTTGGGAATGCATTCAAAATTCAGGTGCGCTCACTTGTGTGTCCTTGATGCCTTTTTTATTTAATTTCCTGAGAAAAGCTAAGATATGTGGAAGTTCTGCTGAAAACCTTGCTCTGCAATTAAGAATGGTTGTGCCTTTGTTCTTAGAACTTACGTTGCTGAAGCTAGGCGTTTCCACTTTCCACTATTGAAAAGCCATGCAAAATTTAAACTTTCGCTGGAGAAAATTAGCTCCGACTTCTTTAGCAACAAGGAATGACAACTGTGTAAGAAACTTTGAAACACAGATAATCAAATAAGTTGAAAGTAGATTACTGCTTTTGTGACTATTGTTAGAGATGTGATTTCAAGTTTTCGCTTCCATGAAGTAGGTGTTAAGGAGTCGAAGATATCCTCAACTGTAGTTTCTCTCCACATCGTTTGTTGTTTGTCATAATAAATATCAACCTGAAGGGAGACTAAGGACTGTGATAAGCGATAATTTCTGTAATGAATGTTTCCACATCGTGAGTGCAGAATTTGCTTGTAATGGATGTACGACTTAATACCTTCACCTGATCACTAAATTAATTCGCATGATGTGAAGTCCTCCCTTTCTAGTTATAGAATGCAGATTATAATCAGTTGGAAGTGAGGTATATTAACCCTGTGTCGTACCTTAAGGTACATTTAAGGAGGGCGATGCACAGAGACAGGTTCATGCGGAAGAGTTCGATTGCTCCAGCAATAGGAAAGCGTATCTGGAGAGACCTTATCCATAATCCTTTGCATCTGTTGTTTTCGGTAGATGTACTTGGTATGACGAGTTCAACGTTGGCTTCTCTCAGTAAAGGGTTTGCTGAGCTTTCAACTGATGGACAGTTTATGCAACTACGGTCCAAGCAGGTATTCTTACATTTATTGGCTGTGATTATTTTAGCTTTTGCTTCGAAAGAAATGACTTCATTTCCTTTTTCTTTAGTGATGTGGGGGGAAAATGTTCGGTGTGGGTCTAGAAAAAAGTTGAGGTGATATGATATGATACTTTTTTAGCAATAAAAAAATACTTACTGGGATGATGGATAATTTGTGTAGTAATAAAGAAATGAGTGGACTATGAGAATTGTCATGGGTATAATTTAAAGAATATATTTTTATTGCAAATAACAAAGCTGCAAGTGTGTTTTAGTTTTAAGTTGTTTTTATGTCGAAATAAATACACAGCAATGTAACTTTTCTACGTGGCAGGTCCGTTCAAGGAGGATAACTGGTGTGGGTGATGGAATAATGCAAGGAACTGAAGCTTTAGCTCAAGGTGTTGCCTTTGGGGTATCTGGAGTGGTGAGGAAGCCAGTCGAAAGTGCTAGGCAGAATGGTGTGTTAGGGCTTGCTCATGGACTTGGACGTGCTTTCTTAGGGTTTTTTGTTCAGCCAGTTAGTGGGGCACTAGACTTTTTCTCCTTGACCGTTGATGGGATTGGTGCAAGCTGTTCCAAATGCTTGGAGGTGCTTAATAACAAAACCATCCACCAGAGAGTAAGAAATCCTCGGGCTATGCATGCTGACTTTATGCTGCGGGAGTACAATGAGAAAGAAGCCGTCGGCCAGGTAAAAGTGCTACCCTTCTAATGTTCAAAACATTTGACGTGGCTAACAATATAGGTGTGGTGTTTGTTCTGTGATCTTTTTCCCCATCAAGTGATTACGTACTTTCACTTGACAAAACGAAGAGAAAAAATCTAAATTTTGCATATTATACTGTACCAAACTTTTAGTACCTTCATAAGTCATTGAAATACCTTCTGCATTTGAAAGTCCAATTACCTGTATTATTTGTCTTGCCGTATGAGTACTGCTTGTTGGTCCGAGTAAATATACTAGTTGGAATTCTTTCGGGCTTTCTGAATTGTTTCATTAGCTTACAACATCAAGTATTGGTATTTGTGCTGATTCTCGTGGTATATAGATGGTACTTTACCTTGCAGAAGCTAGTCGCCAATTTGGATGCACTGAAATATTCAAAGAACCCTCTAAATTTGCGTTGAGCGACTATTATGAGGATCACTTCATCGTTCCTTATCAAAGGATTGTTATGGTGACCAATAAACGAGTCATGCTGCTTCAGGTTTGAGACATTCTTTTTGCAAATACTTTCTTATTTTATGTAAGTTCCGATTTCGACAACCATGTAATTAACACATCATTATCTTTCGCTAACATCCATGTTTTTCCAGTGTCCATCTCTTGACAAGATGGATAAGAAAGCCTCCAAGATCTTGTGGGACGTCCCATGGGAAGACCTCATGGCATTGGAGTTGGCGAAAGCAGGCTACCAACAGCCTTCTCACTTACTACTCCACCTCAAGAATTTCAGGAAACCTGAATCTTTTGTCCGGGTCATAAAGTGCATTGTCGAGGATGGAAATGAGGAAAGGGAGCCTCAAGCTGTGAAGATCTGTTCGGTGGTGCACAGAATATGGAAAGCATACAAGTCTGACATGAAGAACCTGGTTCTGAAGGTACAAAATTTGCATTTGACTCAGCTTTTGATTGTTATTTGACTGGCTTGAACACTTTCCAACGGTGGATTTTGCTATGAGTAGGTTCCTGCGAGCCAGAGGCATGTTTATTTTGCTTGGAGTGAAGGAAATGGAAGAGAACCACGAAATCCTAATAAATCGATACTGAAGTCTAGGGAGCTGTACTCTGCAAGTTCTTCTTCTGATGACTTGAGATTTGTTAAGCACACTATCAACTTTGTTAAGATTTGGAGCAGTGAGCAAGAAACTAGAGGTCGATGCAAATTGTGCAGGAAGCAGGTAATCTGGTTATAAAATGGTGTGCACTCATAATAGCTTCAACTTTCAGCGAGTGGTGCCATTTTTTACTCTGTTATCAGCTTTATTTGATTCGGGTTAGATCCTAATGCGAAACAGCAGTAATCTGTAAAAACATGTTGTCCTTGATTCAGGTGATAGAAGATAGTAGCATATGCAGCATATGGAGGCCCAGTTGTCCGGATGGGTAATTCCTAGTTTATCTGTTTTCTCTCTATAACGTGTTCTATTCTGCTATGTTTGATTTCTGAGTAAGCTGCATAGTATGCCTCTTTCTGTCTTCATTGTCTCGGCCTAGGAATCCCACTTATACTGCAAAACGGATAACCATTCTGCGGGAGTATATATAATGTTGTTTCCTCAATGTTTCAGATTCGTCTCTGTAGGAGACATAGCTCACGTCGGAATCCATCCGCCAAACGTAGCTGCTGTTTATCGCTATGTGGACAGACATTTCAAACCTCCAGTTGGATATGATCTGGTAAGGATGGATAAATCCACCACCCCGCACTCTATTACATACGGTTACTCAAAACTGCTTTGGTAATGACAAACGACAATTCAGGTTTGGAGGAACTGCGAGGACGACTACAAGACCCCAGTATCGATATGGCACCCGAGGGCCCCAGAAGGATTCTTGGCTCCCGGTTGCGTGGCGGTGCCCGGGTTTGAGGAGCCGGAAGCAAACACGGTGCATTGTGTAGCAGAATCGCTGGTTGAAGAGACGGAGTTTGAAGAGCAGAGGATATGGATTGCTCCAGATTCGTATCCATGGGCTTGTCACATTTATCAGGTGAAGAGTGATGCGCTTCACTTCGTCGCTCTTCGGCAGCCCAAGGAAGAGTCTGATTGGAGGGCCATGAGGGTGTTGGACTCTGCTAACAACCATCCTCCCAACATTCACTCTTCAGCTGAAAACCAGCGACTTTGAAATGGTGTACATATATATACTTGTGTTTTGTTTTCTTGGTGGTACTGTTGGTTAAGTGGATCCCTGGGCTAAACAGCAGGGTGGAAAATGGTGCAAATTTGGATTGCAGTTTTGGTTATATAGGGTTCTCTTTCCCAGCCACCAATTTCAGGAGGCTAGCTTGAGGTTAGCAGTTGCCAATAATGGTGCCCGTGTTTATGGGAGTGCCGAGTGGGTTTTTGTGGTTTAAGAAGTTTCTTAAACTAAGCTTGGTCTTAAGATTTCTCTAGTGCTATCTCGAAGAAAAATTGTAAAATTTTACAATGCTATATAGTATTGGTGCTATAGGTTTTTGTCTTTATGTACAACTTAAAATTGTACATTTACGATATGGTACAACTTCATATTGTACCTATACTTTTTGTACAATATCTTTTATGGTACAACTTGTACTTTTATGTGATGGTACAACTTCAAGTTGTAAAGTTGTATCATAACATAATGGTACAAATTGTTTTATGGTACAATCTAAACTTATACATTTAATGTTATGGTACAACTTTGAGTTGTACATTAAAACATCAATGTTATCTAGCATAGTAGAAATGCTTCTATCCCGAAACCTTCCTCGAGTCATTATTGAAGGTGATTCTGACGTGGCCATTTGACAATTTAAACTTTAAAGGTAGATGTTGTGCAGACTTGATGGGAGGCCCCTTGCTTTGTGACTGTTTTCATCTATTGCATTCTTATAGGTCTGTCTCGCGGACTGCGGACGGTCCACTGGGCTGCTTATAGAGTGGCAAGACAAGTCCTGCTGGTGTCCTAAAATCTCGATTTAAATCCTAAAATCCTACGCTTTTACAATTTTACTTACCTATTCCGATTTTGATTTCACTATAAAATCTATGGACCTTTAATTCTACACTATTCATGATTTAAATCTTTAAAATCTTTAAAATCTTACGATTTTACGATTCAAATCTTTGACCCAATTTCACTTATTTTCCCCAAAATTTGCAAAATGACACCTCTATTTCTTCTCCACCAACATCATCTAGTTCTCTCACACTAACCGTCATGGACTATAATCAATTCACATCAACATATTACATCATCGCCTCTCAACATTAATCTTGATAAATTGGAACATTAACCTTGAAAAATTATCATTGTAAGTGTTATGTGCTTTTGTGTTATTCATGATTTTCCTTACTAATATTATTCCGTCTTCATTTTTCTATGGACCTTAAAATCCTACGATTTTACGATTCCAATTTTACCCCGTTTTTTATTTTACATAAAATCTCGATTTTAACTTCTTTGGTGTTCTCATGGAAAACAAATCAAAAGCTAAATCTAAGCTGCAAGAATTATGTTTACTTTCCATAAAGACAATTTAACAAATCTGTGCAAAAAAAATAAGGAGTGATCAAGGGAGTGAGTTTTCAATGACTGATTTCTTCTCTTCCACTGACATTGTTCTTGAAATGTTATGTAACGTCTCCTTAGAAGTAACATCCACTCTTCAGAATCTGAATCAAACATACCAGCCCTCTGTCACAGTCGGAATCTGTCAATTGCTGACTATTCAGTTCAAATGGAATGGAGTTCTGAATTCCGTGTTCAACACGTTAATAAGGGTAAGCCCAGAGTTTGAAATGGCCCTCTATAGTCTATACCCTTTGCTTCTACACTGGAGGAGAAGAGAACCATGTGGAGTTAGGTCCATATACAAACAGATTTACAAACAATACAAACATACGAGCTATACAAGCAATACAAAGTAGACCGACAGACAATACAAACCATGAAAAATGGGAAAACAACCAGGTTGACTTTGGAGGCCTCATCCCTATATAGAGGGGCATCATCCCAAAGTCAAACCGGTTGTGTTTTAGACATACAGACATGGTGGACAAAAAGTACAAAATAGACCGACAAACCATCAAAATGGAAAACACCAGGGTTGGCTTTGGAGGCTTTATCTCTGTATAAAGAGTTTTGTCCAAAAGTCAACCAGGTTGTTTTTTAGACATAAAAAACATTACAAACATGGTGGACAAAAATTACAAAGTAGACCGACAAATCATACAGAATGGAAAACACACAGGTTGACTTGGAGGCTTTATCTCTATATAGAAGAGTTCTGTCCAAAAGTCAACCAGATTATTTATTAGATATAAAAACATATACACACGGTTGACAAAAATAATAAAATTTACAAATATTAGTGAGGTTGAAGGGCTGAGATCGACTTGACTTAGACAAGTGAAGTGACTAACACACCCCATTAATCACTTGATCTTAGGCCAAGGAGAGGGAAAATGAGAAGGTGGGAATGGGGAAACCTCTCACTCTAGCAGTCTAGCTCAAACTTTGTCAGTGCAGGAGCCTTCTCCGCCATTTCTTTCTGGTAAGCACATCTCAAACCTTCGGTTCCCTTATTGTCCGTCGCGCTTCTGTTGTATTGATTCGATCAAAATTGTTCACCAGGTACGGTTTCATCATGTTCGGGAGAGAATCGGCTCGCAAAGAGCTAGGCAACTTGATCGACGATCTCCGCCGCGGCGGTGATTCCTCCTCCTTTGGTCTTCCTCAACATTCTTGATCTGTACGCTTCCTCTCGCTCAGGACTGCTTACAGAAAGTATCGGAGTTTCCATTTGAATTTTGATGTAATTTCTTTTTTCCTGACTAAATTATCCTATTGTCTGATGGCAGTGCCGACGGTGACGAGAATTGGCTCACATGTATCTATGCAATTGTATCGACAATCTTCAGTGGCAGTGGTACCTCTCCGACCTCCGCCCATTCTCCTCCACGTTCCCGATTGGTAAGCTTCCGCTTGCTCTCCATGGCATGTAGAAAGTAGTGCAGCCTCCATTGATTAGGTCGCAAGTTAGGGGATTCGTTTTGTTGATGAATTAGCTTTTCGAAATTCAGGGAAGTTTTAGTGGCTGAGTTGCCTAAGAGTTGAGTCCGGGGTCAATTCTGCCAGAATTATTAGTCAAAATGCATGGAAAGTTCTGGTTTTAGCTTAGACTGATGAACATTAGTTGATAAGGAGATTTTTGTATTCCTGCTTGTCATAATTCCATTCAAAGTCTGGATAACATGCCAGGAGTACATGATTCTACAAGTACCATAATTTTGATTGTACTAGATTTTTGGTCTGCGCTTCGCTGCGGTAAGAAACTAATTATATTTAAAACTTTATTCATTTAATTAATTATTTAGTTGAAACTAAATTATCCATGAAATTATTTAGGTAAGATACCTCTATTAATTTTATGAAATAATTACACTTCCGTAAGGTTTATGTTATGTCTAAATCTTTAAGGAAGACTATGTAATACTTTTATTTAATTGATACATAAGAAATAAATACATCTTAAAAGTTTTATGTAATATATTTTAATGTATTGCATTTATGTAATTGCGATAGAACATTGTTACATAAATATTACATAATATAATAAATTAAAGTTATAGAAAGTATCATATTCATATTTGATTGGGTATGCCTATGGTGACATGCATGTCATAGTAACTTGCACTTTTAGGTTGACCTTATATAGGATTAGGTCGACCTAATTTGTCGTTTCAGTTTTGTGAGGTTCAACGACGCGGTTGACTTTTTATAGCAAATGGTCGACCTCTTGGGAAGCACATGGATGGCATGTACGACTACATGGGCCAGATTTCCACCCAGATGACTGGCATGTACGACTACATGGGGCAAATGACCACCCAGATGAGCACACTGCAGGTGACCGTGAATGAGATGCGAGATGAGTTTCGATCTTTCAGTGGAAGATACATGCATGTCACCGTAACCTCCGACTACCATAATGCTAGCAACACCAATGAAGAAAATGTGGATGAGGGAGAGAGGGGACAGGAGTAGGAACTCGATGATTTTAGATTGTGTGCTTTTATTGTTAAGTGTTATGTAAAAGTTAGATGGCCTTACGAAATCTCTATATATGTAAATATTATCCCTATTTAAAATTCATGGATTGGATCATGTCGATTGGTGGATTAATCAATGAATCCAAATGATATTCAAGTCTTGAACCAATGTAAATTTTGAAAAGGTTAGATACTAAAATGTCATAATAATAAAAATTTAGGTACCAAAACATAATTTTCTAATACATTAAATGCAAATATTAACTAAATAAGTACTAAACGGTAATTGCCAACGATCCATGAATCCAATTCGTGAATTCACCAGTACCAAAACATAATTTTCTAATACATTAAATGCAAATATGAACTAAATAAGTACTAAACGGTAATTGCCAACGATCCATGAATCCAATTCGTGAATTCACCATTTCAATTGAATTTGGATTATGATTTAAATGAATTGGATTAGTTATTATATCTTTAAGTTGATGAATTAAATTATAAATTGAACTTATATATTAAAATTTGATGAGGAAGCCTTTAAAATTAGGGGCGGCTATACGGTCCGGTCCGATTAAATTGGCCCAAATTGATCTGGTCCAGTCCGGTTTTTTTGAAAATATAAGGACCGAAGATTGGATTGGATACAGTCCGGTCTTGATCCGGTCCGGTCTTGACCCGGTCCGGTCCCAATTCGGTCTTGATTTTATATTGAGATTGTGGGAATTTGAGTGGCCTAAGGCCTAAAAGGGTGAGAGTTGGTTAAGTTTTGTACTAAGTGCAAAGGTTTGTGACCGTTTATGCAAATTACCTTTAAATTTTGGGTGTTGAGCTCTCTTATCCGGTCTTTATCCGGTTTTTTACTTCAAATCTAAGCTCAAAGATTGGATTGGATTGTTTACTATCCGGTCCCGGTCCGGTCTCGGTCCAGGTTATACTGTCCGGTTTCCGGTTTTTCATCCAGTCCCGGTCCAAATAGCCAGCCCTATTTAAAATTAGATGAGGAAGCCTCTAATACGCATGCTTGGGCTGAGCTACCACTCAAATAATATTGGAGCTTAATGTTTGTCCAGCCCAAAGTGATTATTTGTGGGTGCCGTAGCAAATCCATTCCCAAACATCCCGCGAATATATCGTAATGAACAGTGAACCGGAATTTCCGTTTACTTGCGGGTTAAAGATATAATAATAATAATAATAATAATAATAATAATAATAGTCTACAAGGTTTAAGGAATTGGGAGACGAAAATGGACAATCATACAAGGATAATTTCCTTTGTTTTCCTGATACTCCTGTCGGTGACAAGACCAATGTAGAGATCAGTTCTCAGAGTGTCGGACTCTGGCAATCGCCTGATCCGACCACCTTCCGACATGCCTTTTACGAACTCCACCATGTGCCTCTAGTTATCTTCTTCGAATAGCCTCTTATTCAATCTTAGATAAGTAAATGCGCTCAATCCACTGCCTGCAGCCGCTGTACCCGTCGCCAAAACTTGCCCCAATGCAGCTGCATCATACCTCTCCAATGCATTCTCGCTGGCAAGTTCCGTGTCGGCTGCCTTTGTGGCCATCTTTACTTGATGGACTAATCCTTGTGGCGAGCAGTCTGCATTTTCTTGCTGCTCACAGTCTCTCATTTCCATGCATGTGAAGTTGAGCGCAACTCCATGTTTGCTGAACATTTGTGCTATCAGTTGGTAACCGTCATGGTTTCTGGTATTGTGGCATCCTTGATAGACCGTTAATTGCACATGTTTTTACCCCTATTCTTACACCGTTTGAGATGTTGATTCTCGTGTTTTAGGCCGATTTCACGCTAGGTTGTTCTTGTTTGTGATATTTTAGGTCCTAGTACGTGAATGATGGGAGCGAGTTTGGGGTCGATTGGACGAAGATCGGACGTGTGGCGAGGCGCTGTGGAAGCCACACGGGCACTCCTAAAACCCACACGGCCGTGCAAGTCACCCTTGTGGCCGTGTGGGATTTAGCGAGGCTTCACACGGGCATGATGGAAATTCCACACGGCCGTGTGCCCTTGCCCTTGTAGGTAGCCTGAAGTCCAATTATTCGAAACGCAGCATTTTGGCACTCACACGGGCATCTGGGTAAGCCACACGGCCGTGTGGCCTGCCTGTGTGATCGGGAAAAGCTGGGGTTTAACCCAATTTCGAGCAAAAGGAGAGAGAATCGACCTTTTGAAGCAAAAACAGAGCCCTAGAGAGAGAAAGTGCGAAGAACTCATCCTAAGAGTGGTTTTGGAGTTGGGTTTCATCAAATCAAGCTTGGAGATCATCATAGGAGTGAAAATCATCATCCGAGAGTAGATTCTTCCCATTGTTATGAGTATGACTGCTTTGTATTCTGTTTTGCCCTCTCTCTCTATGGAGTAGAACTCTCTCTCACTTGGATATGAAGAACCCTAGTTCCATGTGTTAGGGATCTTGATTGTAATGACTTGGGATTGTTATACTGCTTGATTATAATCGAATGATGCATGATTCATTGAATTAATTGAAGTCTGATCAGCTTTTCTTGATTTCTGCTGCAACCTGAGATAGATATAATCTGATTAGGTTGTTAGAGCTTCATCATTCGGTAGTAGTGGATTGGTTATACGAGAGTTAGTCAATCTACTGCTTTGTACTGGAATCCAATTTCGGTAGTGGAGTTCTGTGTTCATAGCCTCAGCTTTCTATTCCGGTGAAGACTAGTCGTCTGCCGGGTAGTTTAACTGAGAGGGTTTGGTCAGCTTAAGAGATTCCAAGCTACGGTCGGATCTTCCGCAGTTTAATCAACAGTAAATCAACCCAGGGTAATTACAATTGAGACCTAACTAAGGAGCTAGGGGGACTCATTCGCGAGTGACTCTTCCTTTGCTTCAGAAAACCGAACCATTTCCTGCTTTCTTACTGCTTTTAGTTAAAACAACAATCACTCAACTTAGTTTGCTAGATAATAGATAATCACGGAGTAGGCAGTAGATCTAGATCCCCCGGGTTGACATTAGAACTTGCTACTTTACTGCATTCCCGGACTGCGATTATACTTGGTCGCAGTTTGGTGTTGTGTTTTAGCGTGTCAATCCTGCTGTAAGTTCAGGTGAGTGTGACCTTGTTCTGTAATGCCAATGGATTCCAACAACTTTTCCTGATAGCTTTGCTCCGGTTCCTTTGAATATCACTTCGGCAGCTGCTAGGATGTTGTCTCCATGCTGTAGTAGCTTTTCAGAGTACCACTCTAGGAAGAACTGTTCATATTCTGTGTTCCATGTCCCGTCATTTCTGAAGAACCCAGTATCTTCAGGAAATTGATTGTACTCGCCAGAATCATGGGGTCCGTCTTGCCCCCAGGCTGGGTTTCCTAGTGCTTCAGCTGATGCTTTCAGTGAAGCTTTCATATACTGCAGAATGTAGAAAGTTGGGTTAGATGTCTGTTAAATGTTGTAGTTTACATTCCTACTTGAGTGTCGCATTCATCACTGTTGCAGAGAGTTGGTAAAAGAGTGGTGACAACTCTACGAGTTTCCATCAGGGTTGAAAATTTATAGGCAACAGATAAGGGACTTCAGGAATCATACCAGAAAAAAAGATTTCTCCACCTAGCGACAAAAGGTCCATGTAATAGACCATTAGTTCAACTAATGTAATAGATCTAGTCGGGAAGCACTTGGCTGCCTTCTAACCTTCTCGTAGTAAATGCATCTCCAATACTCACAAAGTTACACCCGCAGCGGAGCCCAAAGTCAAGGCCACACCCAAACCCTAACTGGCATGATCAAACGGAAAACCCTAACCATCGATTTTGCTACTGTCAAAGGAACCAACCAACAACGAGTATACGCGAATTGTGGTTCAGCGGGACCAAACGCCGGAAAGCAAGCACTTGGCCGGCTGCACGGTACGATGGCGATTTCTGAAGGATGAACGGGTTTAGGGTTGGGAGGAGAATGATTGTCAAAAACCCAAATAATTCAACGTCTGTGTGGTTTCTCCCATTTTGATTTTAATTATTAATATCATTTAATTATTTTCTATATTCCTGTCTTACCCTTTAACGTATTAGGTAGGTAGTTACCCAATCATTACTAATCTCTCTCTCTCTCCTTCTCCTATTGGTTGAAAGGGGTTTAAGATCTTCCTTAAAAAAAGAGACCTTAAGGACCTGATCCAACCCGTTACTTGAACAGTGTGCATTTGCATCCAAACGTTTGTCACATTAATGTTACACATTTCTAGGATGAGAAGTGTGGAAGTTTCTCCCCCACTCCCTTTCAACCTGCTTTGAAACATAGGTTCAACAAATTTCAGTGTCGACACACTGGTTTCCATGTCGGGAGCAATTTTCTGAACCCCACAAAGACAAGAGTATTATGTGGCTGGTACACCTGAAGGTTTCAATTTTTATTTTCAGCCTTTGATAATAACTTAAGATTAATACTATGCGGAAAGCGTGTGTGTGGCTGTTGTGAGTCAGTTCCGCTCCTTTGTTACTGTTGGAGTCTCCTCTGTGTGCCACATTGTTGCTGAATTTGATGACAATAGTATGCTAAATTTGAACTGTATCTTTTGATGAATGATACTAAAAAATTTGGAGAAGGAACACAAGAACAGTTTGTTGTGAACTTAGTAGGGTCCAGTAATGGTGATATCTGAATATTAAACGAAAACATTCAGGCCTCTGTTGTAAAGTATGATATTGTCCCAGGAATTCTGATTCTACTTGTATTATTGATATGTATATATACACTGAGAAGTTTTAACAGAAAGCTATTCCTAAGCAAAGTACAGTCCACTAACGTAAACTAAGGAAACAGAATGACAACAGTAACAAGAGAAGAATGGGGAAGTAGTTCCGATTATAGCTCCTCCTTATCACGCCCCCACAAGTGGAACCTCGGAGAGGTGAAACTTGGAACAAAAGCCACGGAATGTCTGTCGTGTAAGAGGCTTTGTGAGAACGTCGGCAAGTTGATCGGTTGCCGGAAGATATCTTACATGTAACTGTTGCTTGTTGACCCGATCGCGAACAAAATGAAACTCAATCTCGAGGTGTTTGGAGCGCGTGTGAAAAACTGGGTTGTGAGAAAGATACGTGGCTCCCAAATTGTCACACCATAGAACAGGAGAAGAGGAAGGTGACTGTCCGAGTTCCGCGAGTAACGCCTGCAGCCAAATGACCTCTGATGCAAGAGTAGCGAGAGCTCTGTATTCACATTCCGTGGAAGACCTGGCCACCGCCTTCTGTTTTCTAGTCAACCAAGACACCAAATTCGACCCATGAAAAACTGCAAACCAGAAATAGACTTCCGATCTTTGGGACAAGAGGCAAAAGAAGCGTCCGAGTAACCATGTAACTGAGAATGAACTGACCGTTGGAAGAGCAATCCCTGAGTAATGGTACCTTGAAGATAGCGCATGATCCTTTTCACGGCTGCCCAATGCGCCTCTGAAGGGGAGTGCTGGAACTGAGAGACGTGATTCAGCGCAAAGGAGATATCCGGTCTCGTGAAACTCAAATACTGCAGACCGCCGACAATACTCCTGTATAGGCTGGGATTGTCAAATGCTGGGGATAAATCAGACCCACTTTGTACCAACTGATCAGGGGTACAAGGCGTGGATATTGACTTGGCTTGAGCCATTCCTGAACGTTCCAGCAGCTCGAGGATATACTTGCGCTGATTTAGTATCAAACCAGTGGGAGTGTAATGAACCTCGAGTCCAAGAAAATATGATAGCCGACCAAGATCCCGAAGTGCAAACTTGGAGCGGAGATGAAACAGAAGGCGCTGTATGACGGATGATTCGTTACCTGTAATCACGAGGTCATCTACATAGACCAACATGTAGAGGAGAGCAGAGCCACTCTTGAAAATGAAAAGTGAGGGATCCGTCTGAGAGGCGACAAAGCCGAAGTCCCGAAGTGCTTGTGAGAGATAGTGAAACCAAGCACGAGGGGCTTGGCGCAATCCATATATAGATTTGCGGAGACGACAGACGTAATCAGGATGCTCAGGATCAATGAACCCAACGGGCTGGCGCATATAGACTTCCTCCTTAAGTGTGTCGTGTAAGAATGCGTTGGAGATATCAAGCTGATGTAACGGCCAAGCATGGGAGACAGCAATGCCCAGGAGGAGACGAAGTGTTGCTGGCTTCAATACAGGGCTAAAAGTGTCACCGAAATCGTGGCCTGGGATTTGCTTAAAGCCACGAGCAACAAGCCGCGCTTTCTCCCGTTCAAGCGAACCGTCTGGATTAGTCTTCTCTGCAAACACCCAGCGGTTAGAAAGAACATTACAATAAGGTAGAGGGGGGACTAAGTCCCAGGTGTGGTTTCGAACGAGTGCGTCAAATTTGGTGACCATAGCAGCTCGCAAGCGGGGCAATTTCAGGGCTTGGGCTACAGTGAATGGTATACCCGACGGAGCAGCAGCAAGATACTGGCGGGGCTTCAATTGTCCGGTCTGAGTGCGAGTGAGAATCCGCCGGGAAGGACTGGGTGCCGGAGGTGGAACAATGTGGGGGGAAGTGTCGAATCCGGGACGAGGTGGTGGTTTGGAAACAGGGGGTGTGGGAGTGGTAATGGGAGAGAAGGACAGAGGGTGATGGTCAGGTTGGGGAGGCGGAGAAGAGGCGACAGGAGGTCTAGGACGGCGGTGATATTGGAACAGGGGTGGCGACGGGGGATGGGTGGAGGCGCGGCGTCGGTGGTAGTGAAGCAAGGGTGGAGGACTGTTTCGAGTAAGCTGGTGGGAAGGGTTGGGCTCGCTGGGATGGACAGAGGGGGAAGGGAGATTATGATGTGGGTTGATAGGAGTGGGCCGATCCTGTGGAGGAGATATGGGCTGGGGAGTGATGGGAGTGGGCTGGGGAGTGATGATATTGGGCCGAGCCTGTTGAGGAGGGGATATTGGTTGGGGAGTGATGGTAGTGGGCTAAGAGGATGATGATGGTGGGTTGAGGGAATGGACTGGTAACGAGCTGGGTAGAATAACAGGCTCAGAGAGAAAGAGATCAGGGGGGCTAGATCCGGTTGGGTCAATGGGTGAGTCTTTATAAGGGAAAACTTATTCATCAAAAAGAACATGACGACTGACATAAATACGGCCAGTGGAGCGATCAAGACACCGATAACCTTTATGTAAACCACTATAACCCAAGAAAACACATGGTGTAGAACGTGGTTGAAGTTTATTTGAAGTTTGAGGACGAAGCCAAGGATAACACAAACACCCAAAAACTCGAAGATTTTGAAGATCCGGAGATTTATGAAACAAGATATGGAAGGGAGAGTGATTTTGAAGAAGAGGAGTAGGAGTGCGATTGATGAGATAACAAGCAGTATCAAACGCGAGAGACCAGTACTTGAGCGGAACATGAGCTTGGTGTAACATAGCAAGACCATTATTGACAATGTGACGATGTTTCCGCTCAGCACAACCATTTTGTTCGGGGGTATAGGGACACAAAGAATAATGAACAATACCATTATCCGCAAGATAAGAGGACAACTTTTGATATTCACCTCCCCAATCAAATTGAAAAGTTGTAATGGAAGACCGAAAAATTTCTCAACAAGTTGGCGAAATTGAATGAAAACATGAAGGAGTTGAGATTTATAACGCACAAAATACACCCAGCTGAACTTGCTATAGTGATCATAGAATAGAACATAATAGGATTGTTGATCGTATGAAAGAACAGGAGCAGGGCCCCAAAGATCACTACAAATGAGTTATAAAGGTGCAGAAGCATGATATTGTGAAGACGGAAATGACAATTTGTGAATCTTACTAACAGAACAACCATGACACAAAGAAGAAGGACTATCATGGTATTTTATTGAATGTGTAGACAAAAGGTGTTTGACGGCCCTGAGATTCGCGTGACCCAATCGCTGATGCCAGAGATCAAGAGAGGCAGTGACACGAGGAAGAGTGCGACTTTGGATATGGAGAGGCAAGAAGTAAAGGCCATCACGCGCAGAACCACGATAAGCTCATCCTTCGTGCGGCGATCCTTGATCACAAAATATGTATAAAAAAATTCAATGGAGATGGGGTTAGACCGAGTCAAGGAGCTCATAGAGAGAAGATTTTGTGGAGCATGATGAACACGAAGCATATTACCGAGAACATAGGAATGCTTAGAAATAGAAGCAGAAGAGGATCCAGAATGAGTGATAGGCATACATTTACCATCGCCAAAGGTGACTTGATCAGGATCATTGTATTCAGAATGATGAATCAGATTACCCAAATTAGAGGTGAGATGATGATTGTCACCGGAGTCAAGGAGCCATTGGGACGAGGACTGGGCGGGGTGAGAGGCTTGGGCGAGATGGGATGCGGGGCCAGGAGTGTAAGTGGAATGGGCTGAAATAAACGGGCTGGGACAGTGTGGGCGTTTATGACCTTCCCCCCACAATTGTGACACACCAACATTGATGGGCTTGAAGGCCCAGCCCCCAGCAGGCCTGAAGAAGCGGGCCGTGATCCACCACTACTGGGCCGACCTGCAAAATAAGGGTTAGGAAATTGGCCCGGGTGAGAAAACCCACGACCAGCGAAGTGTGGTCCTCTGCCGCGACTATAGCGGCCGCCGCTGCGCCCCCCGCGAGCAGAATAAAAAGTCTGCGGTGGCGCCCTGTCCACAGAAGCCGATTGGAAGCGCTGCAGCTGAATCTCCTCACTGAGAAGAAGACTGCTCACATTTTCAAAGGAAATTGGCTCCAGGCGCGCTTCGAGGTTGCGGGTGAAGGGACGATAGTCCTCGTCGAGGCCATCGAGGAGAGCAATCACCAACTCTTGTTCGGTGACAGTAGCGCCGAGAGCGAGCATCTTGTCATAGATAGCTTTCGCGCGGTGGATATAGTCATGGATCGTCTCATTGCCGCGAGAGAGACGAAGGAGATTCTTGCGGAGCTGGCCGATGATGACGGGAGAGCCCGAGGCGTAGACAGCAGCGAGAGCATCCCAGGCATCACGAGCAGTAGTCTTGTTGACAATGGTGGGCATCACAGCTTCCGTCAGCGAGAGATTGATCCAGGCAAGGACGAGCTGATCATTCTCGTACCAGGTGGCATAGGCTGGATTCGGGTGACTCTCGACAGTCAAGGGAGGAGGAGGAAGCGTGCCATCGATGTGTCCGATGAGACGGTTACAGCGAAGCAGAGGGTGAAGCTGAGCACGCCAAAGCAAATAATTGGTTGGATTTAATTTGACAGTGAGATGGGGATTTGAAGGAATCAGCAGGCGTTGAGGATGAGAAGATTGGATGGATGGAGAAGAAGAATCAGATGTAGTGGATGAAGTAGCCATTTTGAGGAAGAGGCAGACGACAGAAAAAGAGAAGAAGAGGTAAGAACTCGTTTGAGTTTATTGAAGTTCTGATACCATGATATTGTCCCAGGAATTCTGATTCTACTTGTATTATTGATATGTATATATACACTGAGAAGTCTTAACAGAAAGCTATTCCTAAGCAAAGTACAGTCCACTAACGTAAACTAAGGAAACAGAATGACAACAGTAACAAGAGAAGAATGGGGAAGTAGTTCCGATTATAGCTCCTCCTTATCAAAGTATACTCCATTTAGTTCCTGATTTGCTATGCTAGCTATTTCAATTGGAGACTTTTAAGTTTACTACTAGAACTAAGTTAACTATCCTATCAGCTGTGCTGTTGTTTACTTGGAAGGGTGAAGAAACCAGCGCACATTTATTATACATTCCTGATTGCCTCGTCTTTTCCAGTCAAAGTTTGGAAAAACATGGTAGGAGCAGTATGGCGTACAAGTAATCATCATTTGTTTTCTTTTACTAAAGCTAAGTTTCCATGCATATGAAGTTGAACACAACTCCATGCTTGGCGAACATTTGGGCTACTGGTAGGTAACCGTCGCGGTTTCTGGTGTTGTAGTATCCTGCTGTGAGTTCTGCTGCGTGAGACCTCGTTTTGTAATGCCAATGGATCCCTGCAACTTTTCTTGATAGCTTTACCCCAGTCCCTCTGAATACCCCTTCAGCAACTGCTAAGATGTTGTCTGCATGCTGTAGTAGCACTGAAGAGTACCATTCTAGGAAGAACTGCCCGTATTCTGTGTTCCATGTCCCTTCCCTCTTGAAGAACCCTGTATCTTCAGGAAATTGTTTCTACTCACCGGAATCCTTGGGGCCATCTATCCCCCAGTCCGGATTTCCTGCTTCTTCAGCTGCTGCTCTGAGTGAAGCTCTCATATACTGTATTACATAGGGAAAATGTTTAGGGGAGTGTTACGATGTCTTGATATTATGCTTTCTACATGAGCACCACAATCATCACTGGTGCATGCAATTGATATCAGGATTATACAAAAGAGTTTGAAGTTTGCATAAATTTTACCTTGTCATAACATTGGAATTCCCCAATTCCCATGGGTATCTCAATTCTCCACAAGGGCCCATTCCTACTTGAACTTCCTACAGTAGAAATTTGTGTTAACACGAAGTGATACGAAAATACAAGTGCTGATTAATTCTTGTTTCTGAAGTGTGTTCTAAGTGGTGTCTTCTTTATGATATCAAATTCAATTTCATTTTCCTGCACGTTTTCTTTACTGAATAGAACAGCGTATCATAAAGTGTATTCTCATTCTAACTCACCACTGAATCTGTCACGGAAGCTCCTCATGAAATCTGAGTAGACTTGTAGTACAGGCATCGAGTCACAACCCAAGGAGATGTACTAAGGATTCCTACGACCTGATTTGTCGGTGTAGACAAGGTCCGGGTTCTTGCTGATCTCTTCAAGCACCCATGGAGGTAGGGGAATTCTGAAATTCCATTTCCAGAAGGAAGAAGGAAAAAAGGTTAGTTTAATTACTCTTGAGCCTTATTGCCATCAATCAAAATTTTCCTAATTGTTTGTTATCAACTCACTGAACTGGTGGGAACAACTTGGTGATCTTTATATAGAAAAATCAGGAAAAGAAGCAAACTGAACCGGATTAGATGCTCTCTTAATCCAATTCTGGTTCTCATTTTCCCTTTATTTTCTACCGACCCGACCGAATCATGCCCTCTTCTAGACATTGAAATTGCCTTAGGCATTGAGCAGAAAGTAGTATATATGTCCTACTAACAACCACTACAAAAGAATAGGCCTATATCAAGGGTTTGGTAGCAAGGGTTCAGTAAACCCTTGCTAGACTTTTTTGTACTTACTCTACCAAGGGTTTTTTGTAGGGGTTTGCAAAATGCAAACCCTTGCTAGACTCTTAACTAATTGCCATTCACTGTTTCATTCTCCGATCTGAATGTTTTCCGAAAATGAAGATCTAAGAATTTGGATGACATATTTTATAGGGTTGATTGTGTAATATTTATGTACTTTGAGCACTTATTTGGACATTAGGTACCGTCCCGATTTGGCGATTCGATTCCCGATCCGTCCAATATGGTCTCTTTCAATTTCGAGCTTCCAACTCCATGCCTCGTTTTATGCTCTCTCTGTTGAGATCGGTCGACATCTTCGATTATTTGCTTCTCTAAGGTCCGATCAATCTCTTCGAAGAACGATCAATCTCTTCGACGAACGATCAATCTCTTGATCTAAATTCTCTTTTCCGATTCCTTCATCTCTGTAACTCGCTTGAACCACTTGAAGAACGATCTCCATCGCTTTGGTAGAAGACTGGCGATTTGAAACCCTAATTCCTCTTCAATGGTGACAGCTTCTGATAAATCTTCGTCTTCGTCGCTGATTACTCCTTCACATCCATATTACATCGCCAAAAGCGACTTTCCTCACTACATATGACCACGCTGCTCCTCTGCCTCCGCTCACTGCTTCCTTCTTCGTAAACAGGACCGCCATCCAGCGCTGGCGTCCTTCCTCGTGTTGCTGTTTTAACTCGCCTTTTGTTTTCCCCTTTGTTATGCAGTGGCCGAAGCAGCTCAATGCGCCCTTGTAAGTCGTGGATCCTGAGATTGTCGACATTATTGAGCACAAGAAAACTTGTCAATGGAAGGTACATATATTGCTTTGCTCGGCTCGTTCTGCTTTTACAACAATAATTGAGATGATGCTGCTGCTAGTTATCTGTTGGGTGTAGTTAATCGGCCAACATAAGCATGCATAGCTATTTCAGCTTAAAATGGTTTTAAAAAGAAGAATTTAGATTGATTGGTTAAGTTGGATATGGTTCTTAACCTCACTTACACGTAGCAGTAAAACAAATAAGGATAAGATTGAGGAAGGTTGTTTGAGAGCCAAGAGATTGCCTTAGCTCTAGCTTCGATTTCAAATTTGTATTTCTAGATATCTTCAAAGTTGATTATTTGATTTCGTCACCAGCTCTTGCTCTAATATGTTGATTCCTAGTATCACACACTTGAAATTGCAGTTGTTAGCTATTCGACTGATTTGAGGTGCTGCTTTCTTCCAGCACAACAGAATTTGGTCTCATATGGTGAAGTAGTAATAATTTTTGTCAAAAGGAACACTGTTGTCGAACATGGTTGGTGGAATTATAGAGCCATCAACATAACCTCTCGGGGTCTAGGAAAATTAGCAGCATCTTTGACTTGTTTTCATGGGCACCTGGAAATAGAGCAGGTGAAATATGACATTCTCTCATTGAACTTTATTATCCTTTTCTCACTTTGCTTGAATCATGCAGTAGTATCCTTTCTTGTGTCGTTAACCATGTTTGCTACAATTTGCTATAGGTTCTGAAAGTTGAGCAAGAAATTTTCGTTCGTGATCATGTGAAATTTCTTCTGGATGGTAACCCAAGATCTCAAGTTGTCCACCTTCCATGGGCCCCTGCAGTTTACCAAGAGGTGGTGCTGAAGGCTGTGGGAGGTTGTCTCCTTTGTGATTCCTTATCTAGCTTAGGTTTTAAGTTACCTGTAGTCGTCTAATGGTCAATAGATTTTCTGAAACCCTGTAGGTTGTGCAAAAGCATCAGCTGATTACAAATGCTACTTCCTCAGATGCTCCTACTGTGTCAGTTTCAACTTCAGGGATCGCCCTGGCTAAGAAGTCTGGTAAAGCTACTGTGAAAGTAGTGTCTGGATTTGATCCCTTCAATAATGATGAGGTACTTATAGAACTGCAGCTATTTACATCTCTGTTCTCATGCATATGCTTGGCTTGATGCAGACAATTTGAAGGAGACAATTGTGATACTGCTGCTGCATTTACTAGAGATGACACAGGAACTTGAGCCCCAAATAGATTCCTATCGCGAATCAGTAGTGCAAGATAAACAAGTTGACATCCCTGAGCGGAACAATGGGGAAGGTATCGAGGAAGGGGCGAGTTTTTGTGACGAAGAGTTCAAAGGTGCTGTGAAACCATTGTCTTCTCCACCAAACTCAGCAATGCTGGGCTTGTTTATAAGGTACAGTAGAGGAAGATTCTCAAGCACATATTTTGAGCATTTGAACTGCTTAATATGATTTCTAAGCCTGCAAATTTATGGTTTTTTTTATGGAAACCAATTCTCTGTTTCCATGCTTGCAGGTATTTGTTAGCCATTATAGATAGATTTTTGTTTGTTTGTTATGAATGGTATTATACCATCGACTTCTAATTAGCTTTACTACTAGTATACAATGTGTCGAAATAGCAGGACTGAAGAGGAATGGGATCCAGACTGAGGTGAGTTAATTACTTGAGATCAGACCTGAAGAGAAGCCAGATAACTCCAGAGGCAGAGAGCATTATTATGGAGTTGCATGCCAAGTGGGGAACAAGTATAATATAATCAGTGATTAGTAATCACTTGAGTTGAACCTTATGCAGAGTTCCTTTAAATCTAGACAAATTAAAGGAGGGATTAATGGATGATTAATATGTCAACTAAATTTTATCTTATTTGGCCAGGTGTTCCTCCGACGGGTTAGTATTAGTATCCCCCTGGGTTAAACCTGATCATTTTATCTTATAACCCTGATCATTTAATTTAAGATGTTGTATCAACTGTTTTTGCTAATCCTGTGAATCTTTGTTTATTGAACAACAAAAAAGGGCTTCCCTTTTTTTATGGCAGTTGGAGTGCTTCAGGAGGGCTCCTACAGTCCTACTGGTCCTCTGATTGAGCTAGCTATCAAATTGATTCAAGGTATAATACCATAGTTTTTTTTACCCATCTCCACAATATTATTTTGGATTTCATTGATGGTGTCCAGAATTAATAGCCTATGTAGCTTAAGTTATTCTGTTTTTGCCAGTGTGATTATCTGAGAGCCTATGTCTACTCTCTGAAGAGTTAAAACTAACATGGAATTCTAAATTTGGTAATATGTTGTGCGATAAGTTTTTCATCTCTAGTGTTTGTGGGGTTGCTCTTGCAGGTGGGAGTTATTTTGAAGAAGCTTTTTGATGATGATGTGGTCAAGGCTGAGGATTCGTTCATTATTTCCAAACTCTGGTTCATTTATGGTTGAATATATATAGGTTTTAGTAGTTTACCAAGTAAACAATATTATCTTGGATCATGAATTGTGGAATTAATAATGAAATATTGATGGTTATAGTGTCATGTATGATTTGCCTACCAAGAATGAAATATATAGAAAAATTAGCAAGGAAAAAGCTTGGTTCTGGATTTATCTATAATGACCAGAGTATTTGCAACCAAGTATTTGCAACCAAGTTAATCTTAGAGGTTCTCTTTAGCGACGAGTTTTGAACTAGTTAAAAAGTTCATCAGTCTCTCTTTAGTGACAGTTCTGAGTTGGTTGCAAAATATATTTAGCAACCAATTTAGAAGGGTTTTAACCCATGATACAAATATATTTCTATTGGGTTTTACACTGAAGTGTAGCAGGGGTTTTAACCCTTGCAATAACCCCTGGATGGTACTTTCACCGTGGGTTACTAAAAACCCTTGCTATCCATAGCAGGGGGCAGCATAGGCGAGGATTGGTGCAGGGGTTGAAGAAACCCTTGCTACAATTTGTAGCAGGGGTTAAAACCCTTGCCATATGTCAGAAAAACCCCTGGTATAGGCCCTTCTTTTTGTAGTGGACGAATCGAAAGTGTAAGCATTCTAGAGAAAGGGATTTTATTTTTGCTGATAAGTTATTCAGTTGCGTACCTACAACTACAAGAATCCCCAACATTTCCACCGCACTGATGGAAGGAAATGATGTTAGCGGGTTTAGTCTTGGGCTTTTAAGCCCATGTGTGGATCGGTCAGTATACAGGTGGCCGATGATGTTTAAGCCCTAGTAGTGGATTGTGAATGCTAGGGTTAAGAGACTATATATATGTATAAAGCATGTACGGTGAAAACCAAGAAAACCTAATAAGACTTATAGCTCGGAGAGTTCTAGCTCTCCCGTGGACTAGTCCCGATATCGGGGAAACCACGTAATTCGTGTGTCGAGTTTTCTTCTTTGTCTTCGTATAAGCTTAGTGTTTTGATACTGATCAACATGGTATCAGAGCTATCGTCTTTGGATTCTGACAGGGTTTCGATTCGATTGAACTCCAAGAACTATGCACTCTGGGAGTTCCAATTCCGGATCTTCATTGAAGGCAAGGGCCTTCTTTCGTTTCTGGATGGGACGTCACCGCGTCCTACTGTTCCGCCATCGTCTACTGAAGAGCTTGCTAAATGGACACAAATGGATGCTAAGGTGAAGTCTTATCTCCTTGGCACGATTGATCCTACCATTTGTTTGGGGTTACGTCTGCTGCGTACGGCGAGGGATATCTGGGTTCACCTTGCCAGTACGTACACTACAGCCGATCCTGCTCGACAGTTTGAGATCACGTTCGAGTTGGCTCGGCTCGAACAGGGAGACCTCGACGTGACGTCGTACTACAAAGCGGCGCAACTGCTGTGGACCGAAC